TCACGGCTGCGTGGTCGTCGACAACCCATTCAAAGTTGGTGGAGTATATACCGACCCCGCTAAGGTGCTCGATGCCGGAGATGTTTGTCCAAGGCTTCAGACTGTCCAACTGACCAACATCGATAATATCAACTTCGCCTTCCAGGGTGTCATTGTCGGCGGATGGGCCGTATGATTTCACGACAAGATGCCAAGGGCTCAGACTAATGACAGCTTGAGCTGGGCTGGCGGCAGGAGGGAGAGTAATCCGGGTTCCGTTGCTCAATTTCAGCCATGCCTCGTCAGATCCCTGGAGCCATATGTCAAGGTTTTTCGACGAAGAATTGTGGATCGATTCGACGTTCGGTGAGTGTTCAATGACGAAGAGGTTGTTTTTAGTGGATACCGAGAGTTCAAGTATGAGCGTTTGATGTGCTTTCAGCCCGACTCTCGTCGTGATGCCTGTCGGGGTGTTCTGGTACACGACCAGAGCGATTCTCTTTCCAGTCCAAGCGTCGAGAATGAATGGGGCTGTATTTGGGCGCGCGGAAAGCGAGATGTCAAAGGTGCCATCTTCGCCGGTGTTGTATAGATAGACGTAATCGCTCTGGGAGGAAGTGTCTGATGTCCCAAACGTGTAGAGGTTGGATGCATTAGAGTTTCCATGTGTATTGGCACGCGGCAAAACGCCGTCAGAAATGAGCAGAGAGGGAGAAAATGCCTCCGTGCTAAGAAATTGAACGGAATCGTAGGTCATGAGTTCGTCCATGCTGGACGATACTTCTTCCTGGCCGTTGATCCCGATGGTGACATTCGGAAGAGTCCCTACAATGTAGATCGGCAGACCACTTTGAGCGAAGCTGACAAGTGCCGAAGATGCGTTGGGCGTGATCTGCGACTGGTTGTAGATTATCAAGGCTGTGTATCCGGGTCCCTCTGGCGCAAGAACTCCATCGACAACTTTGGCGCGGTCAGACACGAGGTTACTGGGGCCCAGATACTCAAACGTGTATCCTGAGAATTGTCAGTGAACAGTACTTCTAAGGAAAGCTTGATCATACCAAATTCATTCAGATCGCTCTTGTTGTACACACTAGCGCCAAACATGAATGGAACTTCAAAGTAGTAGAAAGCAAGATCAACTTTTGGAACGCCTCGCCTCATGATCATTGAATTCCTTGCAGAATATGTCATGAGGTCGTTGAGATGTCTCCAAGCCGGCTGTCGAGGACCCCACATATCCGAGTATTCGTACTGGAAGGGAGTGTAGCCCGGCCAGGTTGTCCCAGGATATTGCCCGCTATATGCGTAGCCATGCAGAACGACGTTGTTGATACCGGCGGCGAATGAACCATCAAGGAGGGATTTTAGATTAGGGATGGTCTGCTTGTAGGTACTTCCAAGAACCGCTCCAAGCTCAGTTGAGATGACGTTGCGGCCAGCTAGATGGGCTGCTCCGGTGAATTGACGGTACTCGTTGATGCTCTCGGAGAAACCCAGAGACTCCAGTTCTGGGACTTGGACATGAGCTACTGCTTGAGTCTGGACAATTTCATGTCAGCATACGACATTGTGCGACAGGAGAGGAAAAGGAGATTAAAAAGGAGCCCTTACCATATCGACAGGCATATTGTATGCAGGCTGCGTGGAGAGCTTCAAGCCTTTGGCCGAGGCCCAGGTGTTGTAGTGCTCCAAATACTCCAGATAGCCCTGTCCAAGGGCTGACTTGTAGTCTTGCACGTAAGGCCCCCCATCAGTAGCGTATTCGCCCAGGGTGTAAGTGACATTATACGGCGGCAGGTACCCACCCCATGCGTTCGTGGCATGGAAGAGAATGGGGAGGTACTTGGTAATGCTGTAACCATTCAAGGACTCAAAACGGGAGGCTAGACCATCGGTCCACGGCAAAGCAGCCTGCATCTCCATACTGTCTTCCCAAACTAGATACGAGTCAGCATTGGGCTTGAGGACAACAAGGAATTACGAACCGTATTCGCCAGCCTCCTTTACAAGAGCAGCTACCGTATCATCTGATAGGATCTGTTGGTCCCAGAAGTCTGTCATCTTTTTGGCCCCCTCGGAACTCCAGTGATCCACCATCCAAGAACCGTTACCCAGGGACGTCGTGGCATTCACGATGGAGACACAGCTTCTCTGGTTTGTGTAACGTTCGTAGATACCGAAAATGATCCAGGTTCCATCCCCTTCCGGGAGGATCCACGAGAGCGTGCCCTGATTGGTGACGTTGGTTAGGTCAACCAACGTATCCTCCCCGAGAACAGACATGTAGAAGTATTCCGCTAAGTGGACTTCGGTGACGATCTTTCCGGCCACGACCGCCACAAGGTTGTTGGCGCCCCACGGTTCTGGGGTATTCATGAAGCCGGTGAGGATGTTGTACTGTACGTTGGGCGTTGGCACTGGCCCTGAGTAAAGCTTCCCAGACGGAACGGTAATATTTCCGTACACGAGCTCCTTGGCGAGGCCCACGGTTTCGACCACAGAGGGAACACCGGCGCCTTGATTGGCACCAAAAGCGAGGTCAAATTTCAGACCATGGGCTGCAGTTGCGTTCAAAGCCGCCGCCAGTACCCCTTTGAAAGCCTCTGTGCCAAATCCGTAAATGGACCAATCAGTCAATGCCGGGCCCAGACCGTAGTTGTAGAATGGGAGGAACTCGAGGCCTCCAGCTCCAACTTCAGCAAGAAGGTTGACATCTTCAACGACAGACTGATGTGAAACTGAGGCGTCAGGGAGCCTGCCAAAGGTTAGCAGCGTTTTGCCGTGAGAAAGTGAGACCGAAAAGGCACATACCAGTATCGGAACTTTGGGCGAAACTCTGTCGAAGGGTTATCAAATTCGGACAGTGAAGCGAAAGAGAGGGGTAAACATGGCAGAAAGATGGCGAGCACCAACATAAGCAACCGTTTCATGGCTTTTGTAATGGATCAAGGAAAGCTGAATGACCCCGTGAAGAAATTGGTAAACAATGCAACAAACGATGATGGCAAGTGCGGGACAGCTCGACAGAATTCCGTGCATCCAGATTCTCCTGGGTTTTATGTACTAACGCGGACATTGAGATCCCCGCAGCGTCGGGAGAGAAGACGCCGAATCATAGCAATAGACCTGATCTATCTTCGTTTCTTCGGGGGCGCGATCTTGCTATGTATTGGGAATGGCCAAATCCGGGGTACCTTGGCAGTCGGGGTTCTTTGCAGCATAGCTCATGGACCTCACGCATTTCTGGGGTTATAACATGTCAGTTGATATCGTATTCGGTGCGAATGAGCACGAAGTTCGTATCATGACCCAGGATTTCGGTGAGGGATCGGTCTCGGGGAGATGTCAAGCGAGACTTTCCCCAGAAACCATGGACGAACAGGTCACACTGAGCTGACTTGAACCAATGGAGACGCGAAAGGGAGTGAATTAAAGAACCGTCAAGCTTTTGTTTCTCATCACATGAATCGAATTGACAGCATGGTTCGGTGATTTTGGCCGCGCATAATGCGGGGAACCCCCGTCACTCTCGTAGTCAATACGACGGATGGCACGTCGATACGCGTATGCAGGTGAAGATCTGAATGGTAAGGCCGAGCAAAAGGTCCAGTCGGCATCAGACGGGATGAAAGGCTTACAAGCATCGTGGTTGGTTGATTATTGCCAGGAAAGTTAGATGGAGACTCGTGACACATCTTGCTTCAATCCAATGTTTGTGTCCCAGATCTAAGAGATGAAATGCCTCCGAGGTAAGACAATTTGATCGCGCGGCAAGTGCTTATCATGGAAACAATCCACGATTTCACATTCACTTGATTTAGCAATACAACGCCGCAGTGCATGGCCATTGCTTCTGTCATGACTGATAAGTCTTTGAGGCTAGTTTCGAAACATGGCGTCCTTTTCACTTGGTTGAAGATAGCAATCGAATATTGTGAGGGTATTTTCGCAGAGGATAAGCGCGTGCAAATGAGAATCTGATCATTTGTTTAATGAGTCAAGCAAGTCCCAATGCCGACAATGGATTGCCATGTTGTTCAGCAGTGTGGAGACCAAAGTGCAGTCTTGTTCCGTGGTTTAGAGACAACAAGCATGTACTGCAATTTGACAAAATATCATGTAGACCTGGCCAATGAAACAATTGATTGGTTCCGTGAGGGCTGATATAACTGCAGCTTCAGCCCGTGTTCAGAGGCTATGGGAAAGTGTCCGTTGTAGGTGGAGGTCACTAATCGCGGATGTGAAACATTGTAAGAGGGACAAGGACTTGATGCTTTTGAAAAAGGAGGATGGAATTGTATGAGTCTAGATGATCGCCACGGATTAATATCAATGTCTTGGGAAATGTTGATACCCGCAAAACGTGTAAGTGTAAGGAAGCAGAGTGCAAAGAGTAGAAAAAGCCGAAGAATGGTCTTGGCTTGTTCTTCTGCTGATCGCCAGCGACCCCTCCTCGTTCTTATCCGGAAAGAATTTTGCCAGCAAGGGTTTGTAAGCTAGGGTGATAAACTCTGCCGGCTTTTCATTAAGCATATATTAAGTGCGAGGGGACGAATGAGCCTAAAGAAGCCCGGGGTGATGGCCCCATATGCAACGCTGACATGCTACTGAATTTCTCTCCTCTAGGGGAAGATCGCCGTCCAAGCGGAGGAGATGGCATCTTCAGTACGACGTTAGGGGGCCCATCGCTCATGGACAATGAAAGCACGGCGAAAACTATTGTCAATAAATAGTCACAAATACTCCTCAGAACTTTACTTCAGCTTTTCCTCAGCATCGCAGAAACATCAATCATGACGACAAGGACGATAAAATTGCCAGCTCTCTTCCTTCTGGGAATTGCAGGGATCGCTTCCGCTGAGGGACGCTGCAAAGTCTACCCTGGCGATAACGCCTGGCCCTCTGACGAAGCATGGGCGGAACTGAATGGCCGGGTGGATAATCGCCTGCTCAAACCCCGACCCCAGGCTGCGGCATGTTATTCCGGATTGGAGTATGATGCGGCTCGGTGTGCGGCCATGTCTGCAAACTGGACCAATTCGTACACCCACCTCGATGACCCCATCGAGATGTTCTCGCCCGTTTACCAAGGTCTGACGTGTCTGCCCCCCAACATCTATGACTCTGGAAACTGCACAATGGGCGGCTTCCCCTGGTATGTTATCAATGCAACAACGCCCGAGCACATTCAAGAGGGAGTAAAGTTCGCCAAAGAGACGGGTATTCGACTCGTGGTAAAGAACACGGGACATGATTTCTCAGGAAAGTCGGGCGGTGGCCAGTCTTTGAGCATCTGGACGCATTACTTGAAAGACGTGGAGTACATTCCAGAGATAGTTGATGAGGTGGAGGGGTACTCCGGTCCGGCGTTCAAGTGCGGCACAGGCGTGCAAGCCTTTGAGATTTATCGGATCGCCCATGAGTACGGAAAGGTGGTTGTGGGCGGAGAAGGGCAGGTAAATTTCTACACTGCGATCAATAACCTTGCAGATAAAAAGCTAACGCCTTCGTTGCAGACTGTTGGCGTGATGGGAGGGTACATCCAGGGGGGTGGTCATTCTCCCCTAAGCTCCATCTACGGCACCGGTGCAGATCAAGCGCTTGCCTTTGAGGTCGTAACTGCCGATGGCAGATTTATTACCGCAGATCATACGCAAAATTCGGACTTGTTTTGGGCACTCCGTGGAGGTGGCGGCTCAACCTTCGGAATCGCCACGTCCGTCACAGTCAAGGCGTTTCCCGATGTTCCGACGACAGCAGCAGGATTCAAGTTTTCAACGGCAGACGGCCTTTCGAATGATACCTTCTGGTCCGGTGTGCGAAGCTATTTCGACCATTTCATCGACAATGCCGACAATGGAACATATTCTTATTTCGTCATGCTTCCAAATAACCCCAGTCCTGGGAATTTCTTGTTCCAAATGACGCCCTTCTTCGCCCCCAATAAGACCGCAGAGGTTGTGGAGTCTTTGCTGAACCCGTGGTTCACCGAGCTTCGGGAGCTGGGGATTGACTTTGATCCTAATATTACCGAGTACGCCTCTTTCTACCCTGCTTGGAAGGACTTCTTCCCGCTAGAAGTCGTTGAGAAGGTTAATGTGCAGAGCGGCTCTCGTCTGTTCCCAAGAAAGAATTTCGAGTCAGAAGATCTGAGACAAGCGACTTTCGACGCCATACGCACGTCGCTGGAAACAAATCACGTCTTCGTGGGATTTAACATTAAAGCTACGAGTCCGGATAATCCAGACAACGCGGTGAACCCTGCCTGGCGGGAAAACATTTTGTTCGCTCTCCAGTCAGTGCGGTGGTCTGTGAATGCCACTGCCGATCAAATCTTGGAAGCAAGAAATGGGTTTACCTTCGGAGATATGCAGCGTTGGAGAGACGTCTCTCCAGGTGCTGGCTCTTACCTGGCGGAGTCAGATCGCATGGAGCCAAACTTTCAGCAATCTTTCTACGGAGACGAGAAATACCCGCGCTTGCTTGATCTGAAAAGGAAATGGGACCCTGAAGATGTGTTTTATGCTGCAACTGCAGTGGGCAGTGAGTTTTGGACAATTGAGACTGCCGATGGATTGCCTCATGAGAATGGAAGACTGTGTCGTGTTGAAGAGTAGCCAGGCATGGGTTTGGAAACGTAGCCTTTGGGCAAACTCTCGCGCGCCGGGGGGGAGGGGGTAAGGGGAACGGGTGGATGCGGGTGTACCTACACGAACGCAAAGTTGAATTTTTATAGACGAGGCACCGTGATGGCTGAATTGAACGGAGATGGCTAATATTCTTACGGGTATTATTGATGGTGACTATTATAAGAACCCAAGTCGACTCGCCACACCCAACACTCAAGCTTTGCTCCCTGCGTCCCAAGGAGTTTGCCTTTTTCGGCTGTCGTTCACCAGGTAAGACGCGTGGAAAGCAAACTGCCAATTCTAGTCTTTCAGTTGGATCTGCACACTGGCACAGACGTTCGAGTCGAAGACGAATCAACCGATGATATGGAGTCCATCGTCGAGAATGTGACTTCGACAGCCCTTGACCATACCGGCGACATGGAGTCCATCGTCGAGAATATTACTTCGATCGCCAACAATATCACTTCGAAAGCCTCCAACTACACCCACGATGAATTGCAACGGATGTCAACGGAACAATATGCCGCAAACATGTCACAAAGATCATATAGGCTGCCTGCCGCGACAAATTACACAGGCTGGCATGCTTGGGTTTGGCCAGCATTAGTCTACCTCGTTGGTATGTCGTGCGGTGTCGTAGCCGTCAACTGCAGGGAGAAGTACCGCTTACCCTTTGTGCTCGCCTTCTGCGCCACCGGCATCGAAATCTTGCGATACGTCAGCGGAATCAACATGAACTATGCCGTGAAGGACACTCTGCTCAAGGGTATCATTATCCAATGCATGGGCGCGGTAGTCATGGTTCTTCGCGAAGGATTCGTTCTCACCGAGGAGCAGAAGAGACTCCCGTGGCCTCAGCGAGCCCGCGCCACTTACAAGATCGCATGGAACGGACGTTTTATCAATACCGCTCGACAAGCCCCTGTCTACCATCTCATAAGGGACCAAGACAAGAAAAGACAGGACCCATCGGCTGTAATCGAGAAGAGAAAGGAACTGGCCGAAAGAAAAGCCCAGAAGGCCACCACCGCGAACGGCAAAAAGGCCAACGAGGTTGCCCCAGTCACCGATACGGCGAACAAGCAAGTCGCCGTAGAGCTTTGGAAGAGATTCAGCACTCACGCCTTGAAGATATGGAGAAACCATCGTCTTCGGTGGATGTTGGAAACCGTATGTCGAATACTCCTCATCATCATCGTAGACAACGCCAAGGACATCGTCATCGACAGATATCTCGGCTTCGTCTGGACGGACATAGAGGACCACAAGTCGGCAATAATCCGTCGCTTCCTTAGGGGGGACCATATCGAGCCCCGCGAGGTTTGGGTTCGTGTCTACTTCGGCTTCGAATCTGTCTGGGCAGCCTACAACTGGTACAACCGAGTTCATTTGTTGTGCGCTTTATTCTTTGTCGGCCTTGGAATCGACGAACCCGAGGAATGGCCCCCTATGTTCGGAGACATCCGCCAAGCATGGAATATCCGCCGGTTTTGGAGCAAGTACTTTGACCGCCTAATTTACCGCACTGTCTGCGGCACTGGCGAGATGATGATGCAGGTCGTCGGGCTCGGCAGGGGTCCCTTCATGGGCAAGAAGCGCTGGCTGCTGAATTGCCTTGTTTTCACTATCAGCGGTTTCTTCCACGCTTACACGGATTACCTGGCCGGTATTAGGTGCGGCTTTTGGTGGGAGGTCTTCACGTGGGTGGCAAACTTCGTTGTCATCGCCTTCGAGACGTTGTTCCTGCACTATCTCAAAACGTATTGCCCAAGGGTATACCACGCGCTGAGCGGGAAAATCGGCAAGACCATCGGATTCGTCTGGGGCTTCTCTTGGGTGTGGTGGATCACCCCAAAGAGTCAGTTTGTGACGCTCCGGTGCATTCCCTAGGTTTGATTAAGGGCAAAGGACAGATCGGCGGACGTCGGTCATCTTGCGGAGGAGTTGGATTCAGTGCGGGACATTGGGTTATTGACATTTCATATTGCGTAAAAGGCCAGAGGTTACCGAATGACTGATGTACGAGCGGCTCATTCCTGCTTTCATGGGTGATCTTTGTCAAACTTGGGATTGTCATGGCAAACCGCCGCGGAGAAATTGTGGAGGCTCTGGCTAGACGCAAACCACAATTTCTCCACGGGGAAAATTTGATGATAGAATCTGAGAGGACAACAAGTATATAGTCTGAAAACATTGCTAGAGCCTTTTGGAAATGCCCAACCCCTTGCTGCAAGAGCTGCTTCATCAGTGTTAACCGAACTTACCGCTCGACCGTCAGTCAGTATGTCGGAAGCTCTCATCAACGTGCCACGTACTATTATGGATCTTACTCTTGAGGAGAAAATCAAACTTCTCGCGGGCAAAGACACCTGGACGACACATGCGATTGACCGCCTCAAAATTCCAAGTATCACAGTATGGCGCCACCAGTAAATATGTGGACAATGCTGACCTTTTTAGACCTCCGACGGTCCACATGGCGTTCGAGGAACGGCTTTCTTCAATGGAGTACGTGGGGATCTACCCGAAGCTCTCATCGTCGCTGACCATCAAGCCTCCGGGGTGTCTGCTGCCTTCAGCCACGGCTATGGGCGCTACCTTTGACACCGAACTGATGCATTCTGCAGGCGAGATGCTCGCAGCCGAAGCCAAAGAGAAGGGCTGTCATGTTATCCTCGCCCCTACTGTCTGTCTACAAAGGTCTCCGCTCATTGGTCGTGGCTTCGAAGCCTTTGCTGAGGACCCCTTCCTGAGCGGCACCTTGGCGTCCGCGTATATCAACGGCGTGCAGACAAACGGTGTGGGGGTTAGCATCAAGCACTATGCCGCCCATGACCAGTCTACTATGTCTATTGAAGACTCAATCAGAGTTTCGGAGCGAACGCTGCGTGAGACGCATCTCCTACCCTTCCAGATTGCCGTCAAAAACGCGAATCCATGGTGCTTCATGACGGCGTACCACAGGATTAATGGTACTCACGCGAGTGAGGACCCGTGGCTCTTGGGGGACATCCTCCGTAAGGAGTGGGAATGGGACGGACTTATCATGAGTGACTGGTTCGGGACGTACAGCACCTCTGAGGCTGTGAATGCCGGGCTTGATCTTGAGATGCCTGGGCCAGCAAGGTGGAGGGGCGAATTGCTCATGTGGGCTGTTTTGTGCCGCAAGGTCAAGGAGGCAACCATTGATGAGCGGGTCCGAAGTCTGTTGAATCTGACCAACAAGGTTCAGCCAGCACTGAAGCATCAGGGCGACGAGCGTACACAAGGTGATACTGAAGAGAAACGGCGGGTGTGCAGGAAAGTGGCGAGCGACTCAATAGTTCTATTGAAGAACGAACGATCCGTGCTGCCTCTCAATCCGTCTTCCGAGCAGACCTTTGGTCTAATTGGACCTGCTGTTCGGCTGCCTGCCGTAAGTGGTGGTGGGTCGGCGGACTTGGTACCGTACTATGTCAGCACACCGTTGGATGCTATTGTCGATGTCGTAGGGGAGGGAAGAGTGAAGACAGCCATAGGATGCCATGGTAAGTGATGCCAGCTTGAGGTATCATGCTTGTGCTAATCGATGGCAGGCCATCTCTTCACCCCTCTTCTGTCGTCCAATGTGACTGTTCCTGGTACGAGCCAGCCTGGTTATATCCTTGATTGGTTTGAAGAGAACTTTGAAGAGAACCGAGATGCAACGCCTCTGCACACTACGACGACAACACAGGCGCAGATGTACTTCGCCGATAGTCTTCCAAAGGGCGTCCCCAGCGCGTACTGGCTGCGTGTGAAGACGTGTTTGACTGCCACAAAGACGGCAAAAATACAACTCGGACTTTGCGTTATCGGAAAGGGAAGACTGTATGTCGACGGAAAGCAGGTGATCGATCTTTTCACCAGCCAACCCAAGAAGACGATGCATACACCTATGTTCAACCAAGCAAGCATGGAGCGGACTGCGGAAGTCGAAGTTGAGGCCGGAAAAGGTTATGAAGTCTGCGTAGTGCTCCGAAATGAAGCCGCCATTCCCGGGGTTGGCGCTCTAAGTGCAGGTGGGTTGAGGATCGGCTGCTGTGAGAAGATCGACAAGGAGCAGGCGTTGATAGAGGCTGTGAGACTAGCAAAGTCCGTCGACATACCAATTGTGATAGCTGGACTAAATGCGGACTATGAGAGCGAGGCCGTTGATCGGAAGTCCCTTGACTTGCCACCGGGGACTGATGGGTTGATTGAGCGGGTCATTGCGGCAAATCCCAGAACAGTAAGTTTGTCTATCTGCGAATATGGACTTGAACCCTAATGTGCTATTTCCAGGTTGTTGTAACTCAATCCGGATGTCCCATAGCTATGCCCTGGATCGAACAAGCTGCAACTGTTGTACACGCCTGGTTTGGCGGCCAGGAGACAGGCAATGCCATTGCCGACGTTCTGTTTGGTAAAGTCAACCCCAGCGGCCGTCTGTCGGTGACATTTCCGAAGCGTATTGAGGATACGCCAGCTTTCTTGACATTTGGAAAAGGCCAGAGGGAGATCATGTATGGCGAGGGCGTTTTCATCGGTCACCGATACTATGAGAAGGTCAAGACGCGCCCGCTCTTTTACTTCGGCTATGGCCTGTCGTACACAAATTTCGAATACTCCAACCTCCAGGTGCCGAAGAAGGTTCGCTTCGATAATTGCAGTACGATGTCATTTGAGATTACCGTCGACGTGCGCAATACTGGGCTTCGAGATGGCTCAGAGACCGTTCAAATATACGTTCAAGACATTGAGACGACGTTTGACCGTCCTCGGAAAGAGTTGAAGGGATTTACTAAAGTCTGGGTTGGGAAAGGAGACACGGTCACAGCCAAGGTCACTCTTGACAAGTATGCGTTGTCATATTGGAACGAAGAGATGGAGCAGTGGCTGGCTGAGAGGGGCGCATTTCGCATCATCGTTTCCAAGAGTGCCGACCCAAAAGACGAAGCGCTGAGCGCTGAGTTTGAACTTGAGGAAGACTTTAGTTGGCGAGGTCTTTGATAGAGGGATTCCAATCAATTCATTACTTTTCACGATGAACCCCAAAAAGAGACTAGTACTCCAAGAGTGCTTCTGAGTCTAACCCTTTATCATTCGGCATCCTGCGATGGTGGTGTTAGTTGCATAAAGTTCGTAAATGCACTTAGACCGTAGCCGCATGAACAAATCCCGCCCGTTGTGGTGACATATTCTCCGACCTTCAACGCCGAATATCCCCGCTTTGAATTTCTCCGCGGGGAAATTACTGCAGCTGCTTTCACATCACCAGCGTCGCGATGCCCGTACCAAGTTCTGCACTATCCAAAAGAGCATGTGATGCATGTAGGCAACGAAAGGTGAAAGTAAGCTTGTTTCTCTCGCCCGATTCATACACCTCTCGAGCGCTTCCCAGGTGAGACCCGATCGTGGACTATTTCTGACATGCGACAGTGCGATGCCACTCAGCCATGCGCAAACTGCAGCATATCCAATTTAGACTGCACCTTCAAGGTGATACCTCGGAAGAGAGGCCCCAAAACGCCTCGTGCAAAGGCCCAAGACCGACCGTCTATCAGACAGAGAACCTCTCCTTCGCCGCAAATAAGAAGCGGCGACAATGGCGGATCTCAAGTTACATCAACAACTCATTGCGAGCCAGCCGCTACGACTACTCCTGTCTACTCCATGGTAGACTCAGCAACTCCGCCTTCAAAAATACGCAGCGATCTCTTCTTGGCAATCTCTGAAGTTCTGCCTTCACCAACAATCAGACAAGTTGTCGACGAGTGCATCTCTCTCTATGTACTGCACATGTTCCCAGTGTCCCCAATTTGCCACATTCCTACCCTTCGAGCCATGGCTGCTACTTACTTTCCAGTTCCTGGATCCGTGTCATATGTTGACGACATTGTATTCGATGAGGGTGCCGACAAAGAAAGGGTTGCTGCCATGAGACCGTTCACTCTACTCACTGCATTGTGCGCCGCCGTTGCTTCTATCTATCCAGACTCAATCTTGGCATACCGCGATCTGGTTGCTACACCTTTTCTACAGGCATCAAGGAGGATGATTAAGGTGTACGAAGATTACGATACACAGTACCCCGATTCGAGCTCTTTGGCTATTCGTCTTTTTCAGTCAGCAGCGCTTCAGCATTCAGCTGGCAAGACGCCCTTGGCATGGCATGTTCTAAGTCAAGGAGGTCTCCTCGCTCAACATCTCCGACTTCATGACGAGCATGTTCTGTCAAAGTACGACTCTTTAGAGTCCACCCTTCTCCGAAACAATTTCTGGATGCTCTATGTTTGCGATAAAGCTGCCATTTCTCTAGCGAATCGGCACGTCACCTTGCATGAGCCCTTATTCGACTCAACTATGACTATCAAGGAAAGCGACATGGTGAGGGTTCCCCTGCTCGACCCGAGCATGAGGAATGTGCCAGATTCGTTTGAGGACACCCTTATGGTGGGCTTCCACTTGATTCAACGCTGCTGGGCATCAGCTGGCCGTCTACTTCTGGCAATCAGATCGAAGAGACAAAACACCACTCTCAACAGCTCGACAGCAGAAACGACGTCAGCCACTGAGAAGGAAGCAATGACCAACATGTACATCGAAGTCATGAGTCTTTTAGACGACCTGCCTCCTTGGCTTAACTCGCCTGACACGGTCGATCTGGACGCTCAGTATGATGTTGCTTTCCAACGATCTTGTTTCTGGACGCAGAAATCTCGGCTTGTTGCTATGTTTCATGGCGTTAGGATCATGGTACTTCGGCAATGCATTGAGTATGGCCTGATGAGTCTCATTGGACTCAATGATGATCCATTGACACTGGCTATGGAGCAGATCAATATTGCCAGGGACGTCGTGCATAGTCTGACAAGTGTCCCTTTTCAGTACATTCAAACCAATGGAGAACCTGGTGTGAGTTTCCTGTAGTGTCAACCTCAGCCATATGACAAGCTAACATGATGCTTCAAGATTGAACTGATGCGCGTCGTTGGGAGCATTCTGCTGGAGCTTTCGCAAAACGTCGAAAATGATGTTGTTCGAGGACGAGCCAGCTCTTTGCTTTCCTCACTCCTGGACATTCTCGCAAGGCTTGATTCAAAGGCATCGGAAGAATTGCTCAGCCAGCAAACATGAGCCCAGATCGTATCAATCACCGCATAAAGATCTGTTTGTGTCGAGCGACTTTCTCCGTCCTCCCCCGCATTTCTACCTGAGCGCTTGCGAACCTCGCCTGACGCCGTCAGCATTCTGCATGCCGCCCAATGCTATCGCGTGCATTAAGCATGGCGCTAATGGTCAACGGCTCGTCAGTCGCCACCAACGGCATCCATCGCGGGTTCCTCCGATTCCAGCAACAGACCACGAGGACTTGACTATCAGCTTGTTTTTGTCATAACTCATCATTGATATCGTGATAGATATGCCATCTGCAAAACTACCCGCAGGACTATCTAGACCGTGGGTAGCATCTGCTGCCAGGGCGTTGAACCCAAGTTCGTTTCTGCCGACCCCCTCATTTCGGGCTAGCTGTAGGTCATGCACGCCAGCCCCCCTCTACCCCAACTCTTGATTACATTCAGTCGCCTAATGCGACATTCGCGATATAACGAGTGGTCCAACGCCACGTGAAGCTTGGCTGCAAAGTCCAGATTCTGTGATAAGGCCGCCCTAATAGGCCGTTAGGTTCACGCGCCGCCGGTAGCTGCATGCGACATCGCCCGGCTCGAACCGCCATTTCCCGATGGCTTTCCTGCCGACAACGGCTGTTGTGATCACTCTTCGACGCCTCGCCATTTGAACCCCTCCTCACTCAGACGTTCATCTCAAAATCGACCCGCAGCATTCTGTCTGACACATTTGGGAGGTGTCAAGGAATCGAAAATGGCCAAGAACTTACAGAAATTGCCCGCATATCTCACCCGTCTTTTCAGTCTCGCCGGCAGGACCGCAGTTGTAACAGGCGGCAGCTCAGGTATCGGCAAAGAAATCGCCCTCGCACTGGGCCAGTCAGGCGCAAAAATCATACTCGTAGCCCGCCGAGAACCCCCTCTCGCCGCGACCGTCGAACAACTCAAGCAACTCGGTGTTCCCGCGACATCAATATCAGCGGATCTGGCTCATCTTGCGGACCTGAACCACGCCATCTCACGGATCAAGTCGGCGCATGGCGTGCCAGACATACTGGTGAATGCTGCCGGCATTTCTCACCGACCTCCACTGTCACACATCACCCAGGGACAATGGGACTTCACCATCGCAGCGAACCTGACGGCACCTTTTGCGCTGGGACAAGCATTCGGGCCCGGCATGGCGGAGCGGGGGAGGGGGCGCATTATCAACGTTGTGAGCCAGCAGGCTTTCCGTGCTTTTGGGAACAGCGGGGCATACGGCGCCGCGAAGGGCGGACTGGCTGCTCTCACAAGGTCGCAGGCGGAGGCTTGGTCTCGGAAAGGCGTTCTCTGTAACGCCATCGCCCCGGGCGTCGTTGAGACGCCGATGACGGCAGGGGTTCTCGCTGATCCAGAGAAGGCGGAGAAGCATGCATCGAGGACGATGATCGGGAGGAATGGGATCGTGGAGGACTTTGCGGGAGTTGCGGTTTGGTTGGCGAGCGACGCCAGCGCTGCGGTCACTGGGCAAACTGTGTTTGTTGATGGAGGATATTCAGCGACGTAGAGGGGCGATTTCTCGCATACGAACGCATATTCTGGTGATATTCGGGGATGCATCGAATTTGAACAAGTAGAAGATGGCTGGACTGCATGAGGCGGCTGTCAGGATTCTGAACAAAGCACACAAGCTCATATGATGTTCTTCTATAAGACATCAGGTTGAATAATTCTCTATCATCTGACGAAGCACTGATGTGAGATGCAAGCTCGATAATGGCGACACCGTTGCGCCGAACAAAACGGCGGGATATTTCTTGTCCACTCATGGATAACTCGTATCTTGACACGAATGAATTCAGTAAATGGAGTGTGTTTGGTATAACTCTAAGGTAAGTACGCTGATATCTTCTCCCATTTCAGAACTCCTAGGTAACTGTGATTCGATGAACCGACCTGCCATATTGTCCTGATTCCTAGGCCAATAATAATACACTATTTTTGGGACTTCAAGCAGCCGCCCGCTTGCTTGTAACACCTTGATCACCCAAAATCTGTCTCATGACCTCCTGTTCCTCATGGCCACTAAGGTCACCGAACGCTTCGTCCATCTGCTCAAGGGTCTTTCCCATAGTCTACAACATCATGTTAGCGGAACCTGTCTCATCATTGTGTTCTCCACGTGGAAACTCACCTCAGGTACGAGGAAGTATGCCCAAACTGCAGCCAAGCCACAGAAACAGGCAAAGAAAACGTAGGTACCGAACCCAATACTCTCAATCATTGGCGGCGTGACGACGCCCCTGTGACAAATGTCAGTTGAATTCAGCCGGACTCTGACGAGGATGTAGCTTATACTTACACTGTGAAGTTGGAAAGCCATGTGATGGCCACCGAAAACGCAACGCCCTTGGAGCGCATGCCGTTAGGGAATACCTCGGGAGGAAGGGCCCATCCGAGGCATGAGTACGAGGCGCCAAATACGATGATGAAGAGGAAGGCCATGGCAACGCACGCCCAGCCTGCGGATGTATTCTCGGCCCACCGGCTGTCGAAAGTGCCGACGAGGGCCGCGATAACCACGAAGCAAACCATGTTGCCGATGCCGCCGTAGATAGCGAGCGGTCTGCGGCCGACCCGGTCGATGAGGACGAATGCGATAAGTACACCGACAATCTGCAGCGCGTTGAAGATGCCAGAGAGAATAAGTGACATTTCATCGGATTGGCCGATGTTTCTGAAGAGGGTTGGTGCGTAATAGATGAAAGCGTTCACACCTTGGGATTGTTAGCCAGAATGTGAAGGTTAGGAGTAAAACCGTGTACCTTGAAATTGTTGAAAGAAACTGACACCAGCACCAACTACCGTTCGCCTCCAGCTCTTGATCGTGAAGAGATCGAGCCACTGCACCACTTCCAACTTGAATCCGCGGACTCCGGGGTGGCGGCGCTCCAGCATGACGGCCTGAAACTTGGCCTCGGCAACAATACCCTGATACTCGGCCTGGACGCGCTCGTCTGACGGCGGGAGCTTCCGGAGCTTGCATAAACTGCTCAGGCAGTCCTCATGCCTGTCCTGCATCGCAAGCCAGCGGGGCGAATAGGGAAACAGCTGGATCATGGCGCCGAGGATCATGGCCGAGGGCAGCTGAAGCGCAAACGGCACGCGCCATGAGGCCTCGCCGGCAATATCCTTGCAGGCATACGTGATCCAGTACGCAATCGTGACGCCTCCGACGATGGCGACAGACTCGAGAACGAGGAGCGTTCCGCGGAGATGAGGCGGAGAGACTTCGGAGATGTACTGCATCGCAACAACTGCGTTAGTCTCACCATGCTAAGAGCAATTTGAGCACAACTCACCATTGGGGCACCGAGGGCAAGTGTTCCGGTCCCAATACCTCCGATTGTCCGTCCGACGACAACGGTCGCGTAGTTGTATGCCGCAGTCTGGATGACACCGCCGATGCAGAAGATGATTGAACTCAGGAGGAGCGCTTTCTTCCTGGACCAGCGATCGGCTATGTACGGGTAGAACCAGCAGCCGATGAAGGCGCCGAGTAGGAGCATACCCGTCATGAATCCCTTGGCAAAACCGCCTTCCGCTTCGGGGATAACGGCGTGGAACTGCGGGAGAACGTTGGTGATGCCCATGACGCCCTGGTCGTAGCCGAACGAGAACCCTCCGAGCGAGGCCAAGAATGCCGCGGACAGCATGTAAGGCCCTGAAGAGAAGATACCCCTCACGCCATTGGGCCCGTATGGGATGCTTTCCGCGAGGACGTCGATATCGATGGTTGCTTTTGCATTGACTGGGTTGTCATCGTGTTCAGCGTACCCGTTACCTGAGGGTCCCTCAGCCGCGGACTTGTCACTGGCGTCCGCCATGTCGACTGGCTTAGGAGAGAGAGAGGTTGGTATTGATAAGGAGAGGAATTGGTTACAAAAAGCCAGAAAGGAGTTCGTACGACTCTGCGGTGAACGGGGAAGAGCCTTTGACGGGACGTGCGTGGACACGGAGCTTTATAGGTAATCACGGAATATCCTATCTCGACTTGATGATAACATTAATGAGGGAACAGGCAGGGGCCGGATTCTGCACTATGTACCGGAGCCGTGGTATAGCGGGGTCCCCGCAAATCCAGACGAATGTTGGGGAAATCTGGGGTTTGGTATCTTGGAGATTTGGTGTTCACAAACGGGGTGAATTCCCACGTTCGGTCGATGGATGCTGCGCTAGCCCAGTTCCCGGGCGCCTGGACTCCGGTTCCTGACAGCTATCTTGCGGAGGTTAATACCCCTTAGAGAATCAAATCTGTCCGAATCCAAGGCAGAGAAGGTCGCCTTCCCCATCATGAACCTAGTTTCCCCATGGGGTGGGTGCATGGCAACATCATCCAGTAATGATGTAGATTTGGCAGCCGATAAGGCAGGGGATATCAAATTGAGACGGCAGTTCCGGCAGGAGATTAGAATCATGTGGCCCATTCCTAATCAGAAAAGGACGGGCCGCGTAATGTCACAATGTCAAAAGAAGTCCCTCACCCGGAATTGGCGGCCAATATGCCTCTTAAGTCCCAGCTCGGATTTGTGGCGGGCCCGATAAAGGTCTAATTAGAAGGCAGGACCTCGGTAAAAGACATATCCGGCGCAATTTCATCAATTCAGAGATAATATCGTTGCATAATTACCATACATAGGCACATTAATAGATACCGTTTCAGAACAAAAGACTTTATGTTGAACGATGAAGACCAGCTACAGTAATGTGTATCATATCAAGCTGTTTGACTGAAACTACTTTAGGCAGCCAAGTGCTTATCGCGGTGAAAGAAAAGGCGAAGTAGAAGGTTAGATGAGATAGAAGGCTTTTGTCATCTTCTAGTATGTCTCTTGTGTTTCCAAGGGTAGTTGCCGGTCAACCATATTGACCTAATTGTAAAGGCGCCGCATCAAGATGTCAAGTTCCTATCGCGTCCTCCAAACTCTCAGCTAAAGCCATCAAAACTCAAGGATTTCAACGAAGGCCAGGGAAGGAACTTTGGAAGAGGATGAGGGCAAAAGCATCAGACAAGATTATCGATTCTGATTTTAAGGTACAAACAAATATCTCTATTGTGACTTTCTATTCTTACCAATCTACTTCGACGGAAGAGGCTTCAAAATCGGCTCCCCTGCCTCATCAAAGTACACCGGCTCACCAAGACGGAACGAATGCTGCAGCGCGCACGCGATCTTGCCCGCCTCAAGCGCATCGTCCGGCGAGCACGACAGCGGGAGGTCCTCCAGCACCGCAGTGGCAAACTCGGCAATGTCGTTGATGAAGGTCTTGTCGTACAGCGCGAAGGCGTCGGGGGTGGAGGCGGTGCGCACGCCGTGCTCGTCGCGGATCTCGACGCGGTTGAGGGTCGAGTTGCCGTTGATGACGGAGTGGCCCTTTGTGCCGCAGACGCGCGTGGCGGCCTCGAAGCCGTTGGTGATGGTGCGGCTGAGGCGCGTGTGCAGGATCTTGCCGTTGGCGAACTCGACGAGACCCCAGGCGTTGTCGGCGTCGCCGAAGCGCGCGAGCTCGCCGTAGACGGACTGCTGGCCGAAGGCTACTACGCGGTTGACTTGCTTGGCGGGGTTGGGGATGTTCTTTTCGACGTCGAGGAAGTAGCGGCCGACATCGATCTGAGGCAGGTTAGCGTTTGGGTTTTGTTGAGATTTGGGAAGGGAGATGCTCACTAGGTGAATGCCTGCGTCCACGAAGATACCACCCGACTGCTCGGAGAAGGTGACGTAGAAGGCTATGAAGAGGTCAGTCTGATGTTTCTGGAGTGATAGAATGGAATCGTACCGTTCTTATCCTGAGGGTCGAGGCAAGAAGCTTCTACGGCATGGATGTCTCCCAATTGACCGTTCTCTGCCATCTTTTTCGTGACGCGGTAAGACTCGTCATCTACCAGATTTGTAAGCCGAGTCTCGGTCTTTAACCCGCCGATGGAAACTCACATCTCCGTGAGAAGGGAAGCAAGAACTTGAGGTGGGGGTTTGCCGCAGACTTGGCAACAACGTCCTTTGTCGTGATGATATCCACAGAGATGGGCTTCTCGCACATCACATGCTACATCACCATCGTCAACATTCTCTCCAATACCAACGCAAGTGTATTGGCGGAACATACCAGGCCCATGTCGAACGCAAGGCAAATCAAAGGCGCGTGGGTAGCCGTCGCCGTTGAGATCAGGACGGCCTGCGCGCCGCTGTTCTTCATGCACTCGTCCGGCGTCGCGAAGAACTTGACCGAGGGTGGCAGGTTGGCGGCGGCCCACTTGTCGGCGCCAGGCTTGGTGTCGCACACGGCTACGAGCTCGATGCGCGGCTGCTCAAAGGCGAGGATCTTGGCGCGAAGGGCGCCGAGACGGCCGAGGCCGATGAGGCAGAGCTTGAGGCGGTTTTGGACGGCCATGGTGGTGATGATCCAGGAGCACAGGGGGGAGGTCGTCAGGGCAAAGAAGGAGTAATTGTCACGATACAGCTCGAGAATGACTCTGTGACGTTGCCGCTGCTGGGGAACATTTTGAGCTGGCCGATCCGAGATATGTATTAGTTCCAAGGGTCTGAGATCGTCGTCGGCGTTGGCTCCGACTCCAGTGTAAGTGCGGGCGGAATTCCTTCTTGCGGAGAGAATTCCCTTTTGCGTTGCGCTGACCCACCCCAGAGAGATCGGCAATTCTGCCCGCCCTGACTTCCTGCGTCAGATCAGCCCCAAATCTGGTCACGACTTGTCGCTATTCGGCATCTTCAGATAATGTTACCCTGGAAAGAAATCTATGCGTACAGAGGGGGAAGTGAGGAGAACGAGGGGAAGAAACCGACAATGCCCCGCGGTCGGAGTATGACGGCAGCTGTTACCTCGTCGCGGCGCTATAATCCGGTAATATTCTCCTTGCCCATCCCTTTATGATCCGACGCGTTACTCTTTGACCGAAATCTTACCTTCTTCACTCAATTCTTTCCGTCTCCCAAACCCAAGTTCGCACAACCCAAGCATGTCGTCAACTTCATTCAAGCTCAACACCGGCGCCACTATTCCCGCCGTCGGCCTCGGTAAGTCGCTCCTCGGGGACCCTTGAAAGCAAGAAGACATCAAGTTCTCATTCAACATCCTACAGGAACATGGAGGTCCGAGCCCGGCGAGGTGCGCAAGGCCGTTGCCTACGCCCTCAAGGACGGCTACCGCCACATCGACGCCGCTCTGTAAGATCCGAGAACACCAAGCCCAAGCTCAACCCATCTGCTGACAGTCTCCCGTTCGCAGCATCTACGGTAACGAGAACGAAGTCGGCCAAGGCATCAAGGACAGCGGCGTGCCGCGCGGGGAAATCTTCATCACCAGCAAGCTGTGGAATACGCACCAGACCAATGCGAAGGAGGGCCTGCAGAAGACGCTTGATGCTCTTGGCACCGATTACCTCGATCTCTACGTGGGTTCCATCATACTCCGAAATCGCAATCGACTTGAGCTAAAACAACGCCAAATAGCTGATCCACTGGCCCGTCCGTCTCGTCGCCGTACGTAGCCCCAATACACCTCCTTACGATAGTCCACCATCTAACCAAATCTCAGAATGAAACAAGCGAACTCCTCCCCGTCAACCCCGACGGCACCCGCTCGGTAGACCGCTCCTGGAACCAGAGCGAGACCTGGCGCCAGATGGAGGAGCTCTACGCCTCCGGCAAGGTCAAGGCAATCGGCGTCGCCAACTGGTCTATCCCCTACCTCGAAGACCTGCGCAAGACGTGGAAGATTGTGCCAGCCGTCAACCAGGTCGAACTACACCCGTACCTCCCGCAGCACAAGCTCAAGGCGTACTGCGAGAAGCTCGGCATCCTGCTGGAGGCGTACTCGCCTTTCGGATCAATCGGTGCGTTGCGGCATTCTTCTCAGGTCTAAAGCCATCATGCTGACGTTACGTCTAACCTAGGCGCCCCCATCATGTCCGACCCCGAAATCCAGCAGATCGCCGCCAAGCACAATACCTCGGCCGCCACTGTACTGATCAGCTACCATGTGAACCAGGGCGTCGTCGCGCTGCCCAAGTCCGTGAGCGAGGCGCGCATCTCGAGCAACAGGCAGGTCGTCCAGCTGTCCAAAGAGGAGCTGGAGCTGCTCAACGGGCTGGCGGCGAAGGGCAAGGCGAAGCGCATCAACACGCCTTTGTGGGGCTTCGATCTTGGGTTTGCTGATTGGTATGGTCCCGTAGAGTCTAAGTAGAGATGAAGAATATAGACGATTGTTAGAGTGTTTTGATTCGATGTGGTTATGCTCGTTGATCACTTTGAGGCATTGTTATGGGTGTGAGTGGCCTGTTAAAAAGTCGGGGGAGACAACATCCACGCAGTGTGAACTGATGCGTCCATCAAAGATGTCTTGGCATCATAGATGGTTGTCTTCAACGTGAACCGGTTTGTAGTGAACTCGGCGAGGCGACGGTTCTGTGGCTTAGGCAGAAGGGGGATAAACTGAGTGAACACATGACTAGGGCAACAACATTGTGCAACTCAAATAAATCAAATCATAAGCGTCTTCTCTAAGATCACATCTATACACATCTAAGCCTTGTACGGAGGAGGCGAAATGCCCTCCGTAAGAGCCTTCAACCTCAACGCCAAAATCCTCGATTGGAACCGCGTCACGGGCAGGGCTCCCACCATAATCCAGAGGTTCTTCACCCCCGTCTCCCGGAAGGCGCCCTTGTACTCGCCCTCCTCGTCGACACCCCACACCTGCCCGACCTGGTTCGCAACCTTGGGGCCAAGGGTATCCCGGATCGAATCATTCAAGTTGGAGAAGCCGGTCGCGAACACCACAAGATCAAACTCGCGCTCCCGGCCGCCACTCAGAACAACCTTGTCCTCGGTGAACCGCTCAATATACCCCGGCTCAACCTTGATCTTGCCGTTGATGATGTGCTCGCACGCGCCGGCGTCGAAGTAGAAGCCGCCGTTGCGCGTCTGGCTGAGGGTGCCATGGCCCGCACCGCGCTGGCCGCGCCAGGTGCGCAGCCCGCGGGCGTTGAGCGCGTCTAGCAGCGGGCGGTCGAGGTCCTCCAGCACCTTGGCAGTGCGGCGGCCGAGCTCCTCGCCGGGGCCGACGGGCGTGGAGAAGAAGAGGCGGTCGTGCTCCGCGGGGTCGGCGCGGTTGCCGTCGGCGCCCGGGGCGTAGCCGCCGAGGATGCGCGGGACGGAGTGCGTCAGCGACATGACGTACGTCGGCGAGCGCTGGAGGAGGGTGACGTTGATGCCGCGGCGGGAGCAGTCGAAGGCGGTGTCGAAGCCCGAGGACGAGGTGCCGACGACGCAGACCTTCTTGCCGGCGAAGGCGGCGGAGCTGTCGTGCGCGGAGGAGTGGCGGATCTCGCCGCCTTTGAACGTGTCCATGCCGGGGATGGTGGGGGTGTACGGGACGCCGCAGAGGGAGGTGGCCATGACGACGTGCTTGGGGCGGACGGTGCGGGACTCGTTGCCGTTCTTGTTGATCTTCACCGTCCACGCGCCCTGGTCATCCTGCTCGGTCTCGATGACGGCCGACTTTGTCCAGATGTTGAGCTCCAGCGCGGACGCGTACCAGCTCATGTAGAAACCCTGCTTCTGGGCCGGGGTGTACGTGGGCCATTGCTTGGGGTAGCGGAAGAAGGGCAGGTCGTCGGCCCAGTGGGGGAAGTGGAGGGAGAGGTACTCGTACCTCTTCTTCCAGACGTCGCCGACCTCTTCGCTGCGCTCGACAATGAGGCAGTTGAGCCCGAGGGCCTTGCACCATGCGGCCAGGGCGAGACCGTTCTGTCCGCCGCCGATGATGAGAATATCGGGGTCAGCTGCGTCGACCTCCTTTGCGCGCTGCGCCTCCCAGCTGATCGTGCCCGTCATGTGGCCGTCGGCGGCGGCGCGCTCCGGGAACTGCTTGAGCTGTTCGGCGACGGTGTGCATGGTGTAGATCTTCCAGCCGTCCTTGGTCAGAACGGCCTTGATGACGGCCGAGGCGACGACGAGGTCTGTCTCGAACGACACGACAAACTGCAGCTGGGCAAAGTCGTCGAAGGGGCGGTCGACTACAGGAGCCGGCTTGAGGAAGGCAAAGTTGGAGGCCTTGGTGGTGGGGAGGAGGTCGCGGGCCGCCTTCAGAATGGCCGGGCGGAAGTTGAAGGTCCGTTGGTCCCAGGTGAAGGAGAGCTTGTCGCGCCAGACGCCTGCGGTTGTGTGTTAGATTTGTCCTCGATCTCAGAAGGCCTTGAGATGAACGTACCATACTCGAGGAATAAGTCTGCGAAGGCCTCCGCGTTTCCAGAGCTCAGAGCATCGGAGAGCTGTCTCACGATACTCTCTGCCTCGGCCTGCGCATCGCAGTCTTGTGGAATCTGGACACCGAGGACGTCGGTGGTCGGCAGTGCGTGGTTGTACTTGAAGTCATACATGTAGTCGTCGGGCACGGGAGGGCGCTCAGCAGTGCCGTTCAGCTCTGCCTGCTTGACAGCGGCCCTGGCGGCGATGTCGACGCCGTTGGCCTCAGCATGGTCGATGACGGTAGAGGGAGCCATTGTAGAATTGTGATTGAATATTTGTGCACTTGCCTCCAGAGCCGAACAGAAGCGCGGCGTCTTCGCCTTTCATATCGTTCTTACGACGTGAGAGCCAACTTCGTTTCGTCGTCAATCGTCGCCAGTGACATGCTGGAAGGCCCCTCCATAGAGGATTTCGCCGAAGGGGGGAATTCTCCCCGCTGAGATTTGAGTTGAAGACCAACAGCCCAGTTTTACACGGACTTTCAGACGAAAGGAACCAGCAGGGGGAGAAGGTTGGAAAGTTGCGTCTCCCCACCTCAAGTCAGATCCTGATGGGGGAATTCAACCCGTCCGGGAAACGCCAGTGGAGCTAAGATTGTCGCCGCATGTCGGGGATTTGGGGCTGTTGTGTGGGTGGTGTGGAGGTGATGCGGGGGACGGGGTACGGGAAGAGAGCGTCGTCCATGGCACATCCCAGGTCGCGATGCCGCTTTCGGTCTGTCTGGTCTCAACGTCGTGCCGGTGCATGCTCGGAGCAGCCTCGCTTGGTCCGAGGCTCATTGTCCCTTTACCACGCTTTCTGTCGTACGATCTCAATGTCTTCTTCTCGGGGTATTCTCGGGGTATCGGTAGTCTGCCAGTAAGCCATAAACCACAGAACACACGCACACAGCCTCAGTCGTCCTCGATGTTCTCCCTCCACTGCCGCTGCAGCGATTCGACTAGCACCGAAGTCTTCCACCCGGACCTCCGCCGCCACTTCTCCAGAAACTCGAGCGCGGCGTTCTGGTCGGCGGGATGGTGCAGGTACGCGCCCCAGACAGCCAGGCAGTGTCGCGCCGTAAACCACGTGTTCTCAGCCCTCTCGTTCGACGTCGCCAGGCCAAGGACCATGAACAAGTGATGCCGGATGCGTCGTTCTCTCGCCCTGCTCTCGGCTAGGTACTCATGCGTATGGACGACGTTGCGGGACCCGATCGCGTGGAGGACAATCTGGGCGATGTGGTAGTACTGCAACCCGACGGCGTGGTGCGGCAACAGCGTCAGGACCTCCGGAAAGCAACGGCCTTCCTCTCGCGACCGCTCTCGGAAGTAGATGGGCCGGTACGACGCCGGTTTGGACACGTTCCAGTCGGCGATCTCGGTCTCGGAGAGGGCCACGTCGGAGGGATCTCGCGGTTCGCAGAAGGCGCGCTTGAGGAGGAATGCGAGGTTGAGAATGGACTTGCTTGCCCAGGAATAGTCGTCATTGCGGCAGATGGACTGAGACTCGGGAAAGCAGTCGAGTCCTGTCTTGATCGGTGTTTGCGTTGTCAGCGAAACGTAAATGTCTTCTCGGAGACACAGCCAGCATGCGGCCTCGGCCACCCCTCCCAACGTAGAAAACTCTGGAACCATATTCAGGATGCGAGACGTGCCTTCCAAGTGGAAGCGATAATCGTCCTCTATTCGTGGTTAGCATAGGAGATAGCAAAAAGGTCATGACGCTTACCGTCCATCTCCTCGTTCTGTCTCAGGAGGGCGACAGCCGTCAGCACACTCTCCGTGATCTTCTGTCCGCCGGACATGGACGGTATGAGGAGGTTGAGGCATAGATTCTGATAGTGCAAGGCGAGGCCGTCGCCGTCTTCGTCCCGACATCGGTTGAAATGACGCGCGGAGAAGGCGCATATAGCATATCGAATAATGAGATCCGTAAACGCCATCTGGGACACGACCGTCTCAAAGGTTCGTGCCGGATCCGCAACGTCCGTCCACAGCGCCATATGATCAGTGAAGTTGCGCACGAGGAGCGCCTCCCGCGGACTCAGCGGCGAGACCTCGTCTGTGAAATTCTCCCCGGAAGGCTGTAAGTCTTCCATCAAGTAGTCCGTCGAGGGCGAGGTCTCGTTCATTAGCCGTCCCAAGGACGTGGAATCATCCAGGCACGGATAGGCGTTCTGGCTGCTGGTCACGCTGCCCGCCGGGGCGCTCTCAGCTGATAAATTCGGGCCCAAGGAGCCATCAGCGTCCTCGGACAGGCGCGGGCTCTCCCCCTCGTACAAGGCTCGCAGCTCGGGAGTCTCATCGTAGAACACGGCCGGCGCCGTCGGCAGCGGACAAGGACGCCATAGTCCTGGAGGGGCGTGGGTGAGGGCGTTCTGTTTTGGGTAGAAGCGGAACTTGAGCGTCGGCTGGCGCACGCAGTTGATGCCCGCATTCCTGCACTGCTGGCAGCCGCTCCTCCCCCAGTCGCACTTGCGGTGACGATACTTGCAGGCCTGGCAAGCTTCAGTCGGTTTCGGGGCGGCGTCTCCCGCGGTCTCGTTCATGCTCGAGCAGCGCGTTTGCGAGGCTCAGAAAGGTGTGCTGCAGCGTGCGGAGAGATGCATCGGTTGCGCCCCTTTTTGATGTTGGTATCCGCTCTCAAAAAGGCCAGACAATCCGATGTATAACTCTGCCGATGGATGTTGGTCGTGAGTATGTAAGGTAACGTGGAGCTCGGCGGTCGCATCTGCCCCGGATTTAACTGTGAACCAGCTCGGGTATGGAATAGGCCGTCGCCGGAAAATTGTCGGCTCATTGTCACTTGGGGAATGCGGGGTATTGGGGGTTATTTTTCTGGTGAAAGATGGGATTTGGGAAACGGAGGTGCCCGGATTAAACTTCTCTCAGAATTTCGAATTAATTGTCGAGCCCTGTCCGGCTTATTCCCTTTATGTCTTTCCCGAATCCATATCTGGTCATCAAGACTCTTACGTGTCGCTATTGATGCTAATTAGCCCACAGAAGTTGACAACAGCCCGTTGGATGATTAAGTGTGTTATGGCGAATAGCATGAGAAATAAAACTAAAACCAGGACTGCCGCACAGCGGCTTCCAATAAACGCATCGCAATACATGTTTTGCTCTGATAGCGCGAAAGTTACCCGGAACCACGCTCATCATACATAAGATTGCCAAAGGCTAAACGTGTGGTTCCGATGTGCCAGAGCCCTTACGATGCCTCTCCAAAAATGAAGCAAGCCACTTCCAGGTGCTCTGTTTGGTCGCAGATTCTCCTTCTTCTGCTGGACGATTGTCGGAGCTTCCGGCCAGCTTAGGAATCTCAGTCAGGAGTTTGTTCCATCTTTCTGTGGATGTCAAGAGTCCGAGAATGGCACCAAGTGACGTGACAAAAGTAGTCACAGTTACGATGCTAAAGACAGACCAGAATATCTTCCGAGTTTGAGCATCGCTTGCGGCGTGGAAAATATCCAGGCCAAAGAAAGTCTAGTTTCAGAAATGAGCTTCAGTCCTAATCAAGCTTCAATATGTCTGATGGGATAACTCACGGCCACGAAAGATGGGGGAAGAAACAAGATGGTTACGATTGTAAACACCATCATAATCTTATTCAACTCCCTGCTTTTCTGAGCTTCTTTGACCGACTGCGCATTGAATAGCTATTAACTGTTAGCGAATTGCCCTTCATCTAGTACTACAAACTCACACCATCCCTGAGACTCTCAATTTCCTTCTTCAATGCGGAGATTCGGGTAAGGTGCTTCGTTGATGCTTTTTTGTGAAATGACTTTACTATGGTCCAATTGTAGTTGAGGACAAGGTTTTCTCTCTGAAAAGCCCATTGTCCCCGTGAACCTTGTATAGAAGGAATCCGGTGAGGTGACAACGACTCCACCTGAATGTCTGCTTCCTCGATAATATCCGAGAATATTCGCAGAATCTGCAGGGCTTTGAAGTAGGTTTTCGTTTTCGTCAGTTGAGGGTCGTACATCAATTCTTCCAGCTCGCTGTCGGTCTCGATCGAGTTTGGCTATATTTTGAAGGTCAATAATGCTTTAATAATGTGCTTGGGCTGACTTGCCGTAACAGAAACCACGGCACTCAACGCATCTAATGTCTTGGTCCAGTCTTTATCCCACGAAGTGATGAACAGAAAGATCTGGACCTGAAGCGCTGTAATACCCGTCATCTGACCTGCCGGGTTAATGCCACTTGTTTCCCAATAGGACTCATGCATTGGAAATTCAGAGTTACCGTCGGCGTATTCAGCCAGATCCGTCATGGAGAGCAACCGAAAGTTCCCTATGGGACGGCAATGGGGCGTCATTGCCAGCATCGTGGAGTACCTACGCTCAAGTAGCGAAATCCGTGTCCCAGAAGTCCCTGTAATACTCAGAACCTCCCGCTCTAACTGAAGACCATTTGTGAGAGATTCCGAGCCAGAAGATGTGCCAGCTCTCCTGTTCTCTTGACTCGTAGCGTCACCGGCCTCATCCGTGACGGTTAACGTGAACGACTTCATGGAGTAGAAAAGACGTTCTAAAGAAAACCATAATTCTCCTTCCTCCGCAGCTTGATTGCCAAGTCGTTTGTATTTCCTCCATGCGTGGAAATCAGGGAGAGGCTTCCGCGGCCCCGAATGATGTCTGAGGAAGGATATATCGCTGAATCTGAAATCGTTTTCAGATGACATAAGACAAATTGCTGTAAGATCTTCAAAACTGAGAAGCTTTTTGGAAAGCCGTATTCCAAGAGAGCTGGTTGTATTTTAGTTGGAACTTCAAAGGAAACACTGCCTGGATTGCTTACCATATAATGCCATGCATGGGAGGGTGGGCCGATGCGTTCTCGCCGGCAGAGCCCTGAACACAAGTAACCAAACCGTAAGCTTGAGGTTTCTGCTTAAGCTTGCATGGAGAAAAGAGTTTTAAGACGTACCTCAGTACCGGGAGAGTCGTACATGTGAAGTCTAGCCTGCAAGATGGATAGCATGTCAAATGCGGCTTTCGTCTGGTTGTTTTCGGGCGGAATCACAGCAAAGAAGTTCCAATCGTGTTGACTTTGGCTCAGTCTGGTGAGAAAGTCTGGGTCGCTCGGCCATAGGCATTCAGAGGCTTGCTTGATTGATTTCCCGTTGGCGAAAATGGCGGGCCTCCATGTCGGCTCATCCCAGAAGAATTTTCCGGGAGGCCATAAATTAATGAACTCCTCAACCCAGACGGACAAATAACTCTTGGTGAAACCTGAGAGGCTTTTTTGGAACATGTTCTTTTGGTAAGCGATCAGCTCAACAGAGCCTTGCTCCAAAGAACTCATTCCTTTGGGAACGCTTCCCATGGACTGAATGCCACAGGACAACATCTGAAGTAGGAAGCCTTCGGCAGAACTGACGTCTAGCCTACGATGTGAGCTCCTGCTTTTCCAGTCGTCCCGTACGGCTTTCATCAGTATCGATGCATCCTCCGAGATGTCAACTGGGGTGTTGAACCTGTTCTGAAGTAGGCTGATGATCTGGGAGTGCTTTTCGTTCAATGCTTTCAATTCCGCGAGCTGTCGGGAGACATCGTTGCCAACTCGAGGAGATTCGTCTGAAGGCCCGGGTGAATGGCCTGTCGCTGAATCTGTATCATTCGATGGGTTGTCCGGGGTGTTGAGTGCTGCCTCCGTAGTGCTCGACACCAGAGGCGGGTCTACGTTGTTTTCGGCCATTTGCACGATGTGTTGGGAATGAGAATGATGAATTTGTTTGTCCAAAGAAACGCGACTCAACAGTGTGGTACTATCCAATAGCCAGAGTTTCAATGGAATGGATGTTGGATTGACGAGGAGGGCAGAGGCAAAGAAAAAGAGGACGATGCGACAACATTGGGCTGCAACTTCGAGCAGATTCTATGTGATGTGTTACGGCCGGAACACTTCAGGTATTCCTGCATGGCACATATGCACGCCGCCGTGTAACTTTGATGAGATTGTTGATCAGGTCTGACCGAGGTCCCAATTTGGGGAGTTCTCCGAGACAAAGTATGCAAAGAACCGAATTCTGGAGTTACTCTGGACTGGTATTACTTCAATTCGGTTGGAAATATTATTTCAAATCAATGATGTCGTGCAGTGCCAAGTATATTTGCCAATTCATCTTGCATCACCTACTTGCTTGCCTTGCCACCCGCACAAGACGGATGGGTCACCGCCATCCATTGGGATCGTCTATGATATATAGCGATAACACAAAATTTGGTATTGTGATATATTCTTATTTTACTAGTAATGTAGCTTTCGAGCGACACTTCCGCGCGTTTTACCTTGTGTAATAGGTAGTAAGACGTCTCTCTACGCCTCGCTCACAACCACTCTATTTTTCTCAGCATGCCACTCAACGACATTTACACAGCATAACCGCCAGAGTTCTTCTGCCTCGGCTCACCCGCAGCCTCAAAAGTGCCGTTCTCCAACAACCTCACACCCTGCGCGGAGGAGCTACCAGGCGCAACCCACGTAACGTTGTGGCCGAGCGACTGCAGGTAGCTAATCGTACTGTTATCATACGAGTACTCGACATTGATACGATCCGGGCTGAGCTGGTCGTGCAGACGGGGCTCGGCCAGCGCCTGGGGCGCCGTCAAGTTCCGGTCGAGCACGTTGTGCAGGTTCTGGATGGTGGCGGTAATAATACGACTGCCGCCCGCCGCGCCGATCACGAAGTACAGCTTGCCGTCTGGCTTCTCGACGATGACGGGCGCGATGGAGGACAAGGGTCGCTTGCCGGGGCGGATGTAGTTGGCCGGGCTGGGGATGTAGCCGAAGGCGTTGCTGGAGCCGGGGATGCTGAAGTCGTTCATCTCGTTGTTCATGATGACGCCCGTCTCGGGGACCATGAGCTGCGAGCCGAAGAGCAGGTTGACGGTCGTCGTGAGGGAGATGGCGAGGCCGCTGGCGTCGGCGGTGGCCACGTGGGACGTTCCCGGGGTCTCGAGGGACTCGAAGCCGTCGGGGTTGTACGCGGACACGTTCTGGGTGCGGAAGTCGGAGATCTTGGAGCGCACCTCGGCGCCGGTCTGCTCGGAGATCATGGCGGCCGTGTAGTCGGACATGCCGTCGACGAAGAGCGGGTCGCCGAGCTTGGAGCGCTGGCCGTAGGCGAAGCGGATGGCCTCGTCGAGGCGGTGGACGGAGAGGTTGCGGCTCGCGGGGGCGCCGAAGTTCTCGTAGCCGGACACGGTGTTGAGCGCGCTGAGGGCGACGATGCCGCCGGAGGGGGCGTTGCAGGCGGTGAGCTTGTGGCCGCGGTAGGTGATGTGTGCGGGCTCGCGGATGGCGACGGTGTAGTTGGCCAGGTCGGCGAGGGTCATGGTGCCGTTGGCGGCGCGCAGGGCGGCGATGGTGGCGTTGGCGATAGCGCCGGTGTAGAAGGCGTCGGCGCCGCCATTGGCAATGGCCTCGAGGGTGTCGGCGTAGCGCTTGCGGGTCATGGTCTCGTTGAGGCGGACGCGGTAGCCGTGAGGGGCGAAGTCGATGGCCCAGGAGGGGTCGTCGGTGAGGAAGTTGCCGTTGGGGGTGACGGCGTTCATGTACTTGACGAGGTCCTCGTTGACGCGGAAGCCGAAGCGGGCGATCTTGATGGAGGGCGCGACGAGGTCGGCCCAGGGGAGGCGGCCGTACTTGTTGTGCAGGTACTCCAGGCCGCGGAGCTCACCGGGGACACCACTGCGCGTTGTTAGCATGGGCGCATTCTCTGTAAACGATCTGGTTGGAACTCACCTTGCCAGGCCGCCGTACATGCTGGCCGCCGTGTTGTTGGCGTACATGTCCTCGTACGCCGCGGCAGGGGCAGTCTCGCGGAAGTCGATGAACTCGTAGGTCCCGTTGGGGGACCTCACGAGCATGAAGCCGCCGCCAGCAATGCCGCTGTGGTACATGCCGACGGTGCCGATGCAGAAGACGGTGCCGACGAGGGCGTCGGCCGCGTTGCCGCCCTTCTTCAGCAGGTTGGTGCCGATCTCGCTGCAGATGTCCGTCTCGGAGGCGACGGCGCCCAGCTTCGGGGGCCCGGCATAGGTGCTCGGGGCCGCGAGGGCGGGCTGCAGGAGGCCGAGCAGCAGCTGCGCGACGGCGGCGGTGGTCGCGAACGACTTCATGGCGATGGAGCTCTTGAGAGACTGGCTGGCTTGGACCGAGGTGTGAGCTTGTCGGCGGGGAGAGGTGCGCCTGCGTCAGAGACCGAGGAGGAAGAGCTGGGCTGGGAAGCTGGAGCGGAATGCAGGAGTCGCGGCAGCAACAGCAGCAGGCGCGGCCAAGCTTTATCAGGGAAGCTACCCAGTGATTGCTGTCAGTCACCGTGGTTCACCCATGGCCGTTATCGTTCGTGGGATGGGCATGGGTGTCAATTGCGCCCACAACGTGATAGGGAAACGGTCGTCTTGGTATCCATAGATTGGCTACCAAGCAAGTAGGGTGGTAGGGAAGGATCCAGCAGGCTGGTCGGTCCGCTGCAGGTTCCCGTGCGACATTTTGGCAGAGCTTGTGTTGGGGAAGGTTCGTCTGATTCAATCGAGAATGACAAACGTAACAAACAAGACGATAACTGGGGAACTGATGCGGGCCAATCGACGTGATGCCCGGGGGGTGGTGATGTGATTGCCCGCTTCTTATCAGCTCGTGGAGATTTTCCAGGAAAACAATTCTGCTGTAATTTCAGCGAGATATTGCTACCATTACGGCCACCAACAGAACCTTGCGAGAAACGCCCGCTATCATTGGGCAATTGGCCGCAACATGTCAATAAAGTGCCGATACCACGCTGATTGGAGGGCCCCACTTGGCACGGTGAGTGCCCCGCACCAGGACCCACAGCTATCGCGGGGACGCCGGCTTCGGCGGGGAACACTGCTGCTGCCAGCGATAAGCACCTGCCTTTCCGGGCGGTAGCGGCTCCACAAGAGCCCGCTCCCGCCGAGGGGCCCATCCGAGCGGCCCTCACCGAATCGCGTGCTCACATTGCTGACAAGACAGACCTTACTCAGTGAACGCACGCGCGGCTTCACGATGTGTTTCTTTTACTGGTGGTCATTGTTGGTGTTTTCATCAGACAGACTTGATGACATACATCCGTCTCATAACCCACATCCATCACCCTTGTCGACCCCAAGGACTCGGCCCAAACTTTCCCAGGATGGAAACCTGAGGAGACTTCCAGATGCTCCAATCTTCAGACTTGGCCGGGTCTCCAAACGGCTTGAGGGCAGCGAATCGCATCCTGTCGCAATCGCATTCGTTAACAACATGTCTCATACTGCGTAAATGCCCTCAAGTGCACAACTCACGTGTAATTCCCAGGCTCAATCTGCGACCCGTTCGCCAACACGCCGAACCAGAAGAACGTGTGCCGGTACGACGTGTAGATCGCGTTGCGGTGCACGTTCTCCAGCGGGAACGGGATCACGTCAAACGGCCCGCTCGAGTCCGAGAACGGGCTCCAGTACTCCGTGTCGGACCGGTCGTAGTACGCCACCGACCCAATGTAACCGCCCTCCCCGACCGCCGGCGGGTAGCTCCAGTCGCTCTCGTTCCATCCGGCCTCGTAGATCTGCAAGGGTGGTCAGGACCAGGTGCTCTTTGAACAACAGAAGGGGATGCGAAACTTACGTCCCATCGGAGCTCCTTGGACCCCCACTTCATCTGAATGGTAAGCCAGAGCCAATCCTCATCCTGCCAAATCTCATTCGTCCAGCTGTGAACCGTGTTAGCGACTTGCCGATTTTGTCAACAACAGGCAACTCACTAGGGCTTCTTTTCAATAGGGATAAAGTTGTACGTCGTCGTTGCTTTGGGGAAGCCGTGCATGTACATGTCGTCCATCTCCTTCTTCAAGTCTGCCGCGAGACCTATCATGCGGTTAGTTGTGTGACACAACCCAGAGATCCCCGCGTCGGCAGTCTCTTACCCATGTACGGTATGGCGAGGGACTCATTGTTGCTCCCAGTTACGATGACTTTCCCACTGTACAGCGGCAATCCTGCCGGGTTACCAAAGTCGGGTGCTTGGAACGTCACACTGCACTCGTCAGCCCGTCTTCCCTTCGCTGACTCCGTAACACATACCTGACCGTCTTCTCCTCCCCAGCCTTGAGCGTAAAGCCCTCCGGTAGAGTAACTCCAACCGGCATCTCCCTCGGCTCAACCTCCTCCATCGCCCTCACCCTCGGGGAGCTACTAACCGATGTGTCAAGCGGCAGCAGAATCTCCATTCCGGCCCCATCTTCAACGGAGAACGTGTACGCCACATCCTCAGCCCCATCGTTCCTCACCGCAACCTCGTGAGAAGCGACAAAATTCGTCGTGTCGTTGAGCGCGAACTTTTCAAACTCAAGCGACGTGGTGGCATTCACGACTTTAAACGCGTCAACCAGCCCCGTGCCAACCTGCGGAGGTGGAGCCGCCATGTCGAGCGCGCCGTCCCACCACTTCACCGTCTTCCCGCTGGCAATGATCCTTCGCGCGAGCATCTTGGCGAAGCCCGGGCCGTGGACGTCTCGGCCGCCGTGTGCGCCTATATACAGCGCCGCCACGCCCGCCACGTATGGACACGCCATACTCGTCCCGCTAAGCGTGGAGAAGCCATCCGTGGGATACGCGCTGAAAATCTCGCCGCCCGGCGCAGCGATGTCCGGCTTGAGCTCGAGGTCGTATAGCCCGCCCCAGGAGGTAAACGACGACGGGAGCCCGGCGAAGTCGCGCGGTAACCCCACCACGTCGTTCGGGCCCGCGGAGAAGTCGGCGGTGACGCTGGCCCCGGCCTTGACCGCCTCGACGATGGCCTCGCCCGAGCGTCTCTCGATGACGGCAATTGCGCTCTGGTAGTCGTCCGTGTACAGCTGCACGAGCGGGTTCTCGTTATTGTAGATGAGGATGTACCGCGCGCCCAGGGCGTTGAGATTCGCCTGCTTCGTCATCCCGTCGCACCCGCCGCGCCGCACAAGCGCAACCACCCCCGTGAGGTTATGCGAGCCCTCCGGGTACGGCTCGCACGCTTCATCAATGGCATTAGTATCGAGGCCGAGGGGCACGATGGGCCATCCGGCGACGGACTCGGGGAAGTACAGCACGGAAGGGATGTACCCGATCCTGCTGGAGGAGGTCTCGTTCCGGAGGGCGAAGGTGGCTTTGAAGGCCGGCATGGGCGCGACCTCGCCCTCGACGGAGGCGACGGCGAGGACGTTCTTGCCTGAGGAGCCGGAGGAGCCGTAGAACGGCCCGGAGTCGCCTGAGTTGCCCGCGGCGATGGTGACGAGGACTCCTTGGTCGACGATGCGGGAGGCTACTTCGGCCCAGGCGTTGTCGGAGAAGCCATTGGGGCCGCCGATGCTGGCGGTGATGATGTCCATCTTTTGGTTGTTAGACTGCGAGAGTGTGAGGTGAGGAAGGGGGGCTTACACCGTCGTCGTAGGCTTTCAGGAACGCCTCGATGAGTGTGGCTTCGTCTGTTTCGCCTGTTGAAGTGAAGACTTTGTATGCGTAGAGCGAGGCTTTCGGGGCGACGCCGACGAAGCTGGTCAAGTCAGTACAGGGGTTTGAAGTAATTTACAAAGGGGCATTCACTTGGTAGAAGCGCCCGCCACGATGCCCGCGACATGGGTCCCGTGGCCGAGGATGTCGACGGGATCATCATCGGGCTCCTTCTCACCCGAATCAGGCCAATCTGGGAATCATCAACACCTAAATCAGAGTCTGAGCAAAGAATCGCCTACTTCCGTCGCCAACAAAGTCAAAACCTCCAGCAACCTTGAATCCAGCGCCGAATCCGCCGCCGAGCTATACATGTCAGAACCACGAGGCCATGTAGCATCTAAGGGATGAAGGCACGCACCGCAGGATGAGAGTACTGTATCCCGCTATCAACGACGCCAACTTTCGCGCCCTCTCCAAAGACTCCATCCTCATGCAGCCTGTTCACCCCAGTCGTGTGGTGCGTGGAGTAGTTCGCCGAAGCCGCGTCTTCGCTGAAAGACCGCGCGACTTTGACGGGATCGAGCTTGACGAGATGGTTGTGCCAGACCTTGATGACGTCCGGAAGTGCTTGGAGGCTGGCTACATCGTGTGTCTCGGTCTTGACGTATGCACCGGAGAAGATGTCGTTTTGGAATGTCTTGACGACTTCGACGTCAGGTAAAGAGGCGATTTCTCCTTGCAAAGAGGCTTGGCCCTGTGTGTATGGTGAGAGGTCGTTCAAATTGACTAGTGAGGGAGAAGCTGCGGTATCTTTACCTTGGCAAATTCGACAATATATCGATTCGACACAGCGACGGAAGATCCATTCTGACGTCTTGAGAGGGCACTGGTGCTACCCAGAAAAGGCAGCACCGCAACGGCCAAGGTCCAGAACGAAGGCATGATGTCGAGACTGAGACCTAGAGTGCAAACTCCTTCTCATACCTGCCCGCCTTACGCAACGACAGAGCTGCCCCAACTTATACAGCAAATTTCACCTCTTCAGATCGTTAAGAAAGGCATCATGCGATTGCGTCGTAACATCTCGGCAAGTGTGCGTGGGCGCGCAACCTGCGTATACGGGGTTGCAGTCCGGCGGGTCTTGATCCTGTTTTGGACCAGACGGGAAGGAGACCGATGTGCCAAGATCTCGGTTGGTCGCTTGGGCCAAGGCTGGGTTGGGAGGTTGGATGTGAATACGATGCTGGCACCTATTGGCAGGTGACCTACCTTATTTGGACGGTTAGGCGACTTGTTCCTGATAGAAGCCGCGAGAGCCAGGTTATCTGGGAGAAGTGAGCTACCGGCCATGATCGTCAACTTAGCTCTCAGCTCATGCCCAGTTTATGCTATAGAAACCATCAAACAAACTGCTTGGTATTTCTACGTCTGCGCGACTACAATTTTAATGTAGACTGTTACCTAAGATTAAGCATACGAGAGTTCAGGTCGTCAAATTCCTCGTCCATTAAATGACAACTCCCAAGCATTTGAATCCTCAGGCTTTGACCAGTTCTACAACCTTCATCTCTCTACTTGTACCGTATATCTTATTCACCTTGAACCCCGCTCCGGCCGCCATCTGAGCCCAATTCTTCGCCGTTCTCTCCTTCCCGCCAATGTCAAGCATAGTGAAATCATACATGGCCTGCAACGGCTGTGGCGGGTCATCCATGACCATTTCCGCAACCAGCACCCTGCTGTCCGACCCCATGGCCTGGCTGAGATGATTCAACATTTTCCCAGACACCTCGTCGCTGTAGTTGTGAAGACAGCGGCAGATGAAGTAGATGAAAGCATCTGCGATGCGTTAGCCATATAGCACAGCCCAAGACCTTCTCCTCCTGAGGAATTGCTCACTCTTGATAGGCTGCTCCGTGTGAAAATCATGACTCTGCAGCTTCACCCCCGCAAGCCCCGGATCAGGATTCACCGCAACCTGCTTCATAACCTCGTCCCGATCCTCCAACGCCACGCGGTCGCGAGGGATGAACGGGTTCTCCTGCAGAATCGCCTTGGTAATATGCCCCTTCCCAGCGCCGACGTCCACAAACAGGATCCTGTCCTTCTGCAACGGGTCCGCGATCTTCGCCTTGAGCCAGCTAAAATCGTACTCCTTTCCGATCATCGGGCCGTGTGTAACCGTGTCCATGGCGTCCATGACGCGCTTCAACCGCGCGGGTTCCTTGTGGCAGATCTCCCACAGCGTCTTGTCCGGCTCGCCGTGGCCGTAGGAGTACGGCGTGTGGTTCTGCTGCGTCGGCTCGCGGCGTCCGTAGTGGCGGTAGTACTCTGGCATCTTCACCGCTGTGAGGAACATCTCATCGTAGCTGTATGTTAGGTGAGCATGCGCACGTAAGGTGAGTAGTTTCGTGGTTTTCGTACTAGAACGTGGCCAGTTTCACTTCCAGATTGCCAGGTATGTACTTCTTTGATACCTCCGAGTGAGATAGCAGCTCCTCGCCCGTCTGGATGAGGATGTTCCGCGCCACAAGAATCCATGCATAGCGTCCTGGTTTGTCTTAGGCTTCATTTGATATCGACATGGGGACCTGAGCTTCATGCTTACTGAGAATTGACTCATCGGCATCCACCCTCTTTGCCAGTTGCGCGTATGAAATGGTTCCCTCGTCAGGGATGTTCTCGAAAACGCCCCAGTCTATGAACAGTCTGATCGTCACGATTTCGACGTACGGGTAGATGCGGTTCATGGCATCGTTGCCGTACGGCCGTGTCGCGTATAGGATCTTCTCCGCGATGAGCTCCATCTCCGGGGTTGGTGCCCCGTCTCGATTTGAGTTGACGAGAGCGGACAACTGAGAAATGAGGCCGGGAAGTTCGCTTGGAGTGATGGCCATGATTGCGTTACGAAAGTTGTCGATGTAATTGAGTTTTCTATGCAGTTAATGGTGTCGGTTGCTGTAAATTATCTTGATCACACGAACTCCGTATCGGGACGACATCCATTTCTTATATCTTCCAAGAATGAAGTCAAACCAGCCGGCATCCATGGCCATCGTAAGCGGGTACCGGCCAGCAGTGGGGCACCGAAGACCGAGCCGGATGAGACGAAAACAATAACCTTGTTCGCCTCCCCGAGCAGCGACGGCCGGTTCCCCCCACTCTCCGCCCGCGCCAAACCCCCGCCGTCAATAGCATCCCGCCCCTCCTTCTCAGTCGGGAAAGACAGAGTTGGAAACTCTGGTTTCAGGAACCTTTCTCATCCGTCATCCTGCTAATGAGAGCACAAAGTAGGGCTACGTTGGTAGCTGTTCATTGGACGATATGGACGGCGTACGCACCCAATCTCGGTTCCTTCGGTGGTTGGTCATTCAGCCCCAGTGCGTGTAGACTATTTCGGCAACGAAGTTTGTCCGCTGAGGGACGGGAACGTTGCCTTCCATTCCCATGAGTCTAATTTCACGTCTAGGTGGGCGGTGCGTCCTCGGCATCAGAAGGAAGGCATGAGATAGGTAGAAGGTATCCGAGCCAGCCAATTGGAAGAGCCCCGTGTGGCTGGCCCTTTTGCAAGCCAGTCTCCCTGACGATGAACAACTGCAGTGAACAATGTTTAATTGGTCATGCTGTGGCTTTCTGTTCATTTGCTAAGTATTCATTAACGGCATCCCGCGACCTAAGAGTGCTACTTATCCATGCTGTTGTTGTACATTTACGTTGCTTTATCGAGACGCTTTGTGATCCGAATTGCTAGGAGTAAGGTTTGAGAAACTAAAGTGTCTCATCCTTCTAAACCTGTTGAAGACTAAAGCGGCAAAAGGGCTGCCGTAGTTTATAGTTGCTTAGACTTAGAAAGTATCACCAGGCTGGACGGTCATTTAAAAATGGACAAGTTGCATTTACATCTTAGGCGATTCTTCTTACGAGCTCTATACTATTTAGACTTCAAGAGGAGAGAAACATTTCAATTAGCGTAGGCGACGTGGTAGAGATCGATCACAGGCCTCAAAGTTTTCACTCACACCTAACCGTCATTTCATGCCTTTCAGGCGATAAATCAGCCCGAGGTATGATACATCTTCTTGGCAACATGTAGGGCGCCCCTGCCTTCTTTGGGTACCTCTGGAAACGAAAGACGCATGACATGGGTCTCTCCACCAGCTCTTCGTCGACCTTCGTCTTCTCTCATTCTCGCCCCAACGCTATCTGAGATTCTGTCTTGCAACTTGACGATTTCAGAAATGACAACAACGAATCCCGGCGTGGGGTGCCTCGCCACAGCCCATGATTGGGCTTCTTCCTGCCCATGTCGAACCATCCGGCGGGTGTACTGCGCTTTCTTGATATTCATAACCTGTCAGATTGCTGCTGAAGATCCTCCATCCTCCTCGGCCATTAGCACAGTTTCTGTCATCACACCAGATAAGATTCCTCGTCTCCAAATCTGATGTTACCCCGAAGGATTCAGGATTGAGCAGTGCCATCCCGGATTGGTCCCAATCCATACCGTCTTTTGCAGGTGCCAGCACGACAGACGTTCTCGACAGGGAGATCTGATCATTATTTCTGTCCCAACAATATAACATGCTGCATCCCTCGCGGTGTACCATGTGTCGTAGAGGCTTCTCTTGAGGAAGGAAGTTGTAGTCCTCAGCTACGTCTTGGCCTTCTTCACGAGCAATCACCCTTGGCAATTTTCTCGTGTTAGGGTTGCATGGAACAACGCCACCGACTCGACTATCGGCCCCTAGACAAGAGCAATACTCTGGATGAAATGGTCTGAGCAACTGCTCGAGGTTCGACTTGATATGTGGGCAATATATGCTGCCATGTCGTGCTTTTAATGCCTTTAATGCAGCTGTCAAGGTTTCGTCGTTCACGCGGTCAGTCTTTCCGACGATGAGAGCCGGTCAAGTCCAATGAAATACAACACTAGGATCCTTCTGAAGCCAAGGGCATCAAGACACTGTTGGAGGGTTGATGTATCCGGCATTGGCGGTAGCAGCTGTCGATATGGCCAGGTCGCTGCAGGTTTGGCATCTCATGTAGGTCAAATTCTGCCCAGACGCAGCTCCATCCGATGCCGAGCCAATCCGACGGCCGACGTCCTTCAGAGAAACCTTGAGATGGGCACAGAGATAAACACGACCTTTTGAGATAATACATTCGCGACCCACCGAGTTGCGTCTTCGCTCCTCCGATGAAACCATAACCTGGGATGGTACCTGTTGCAGCAGTAACACCACATTATGTGTCCCAGGGTCAAGTGATACAATTGTATTTCGGTGTCGTTCGAAGTTCGATGCTTCAGGCACGGTGTGCAGAATGAAACTTCTGCCGACCTTCGGACAGTTTGCTCATCTCCTCGGAACCTCGACTTATCGAGGCGCGCGCCTGGTTGAGAGAACCGATTGTCCAAATACAAACGCCAGAACGTGAAGGAAACCTGGCGTAGCATGAAGAGATTGGCTAACTCTACATTGTCCATAATTAAGAGTGAAACCTCGACCGGGAGATGGATGATCGGGCTGCGACGCAAGTTCAGTTCGAAATTTATTTCCCAAGTCGAAGCATCTGGACGCTGCTTTTGAATTTCGTCGATATCAACGGCATTGATCTTTTTGCGTGCCACTCAGATGACATCCTCTGGAGACGCCAGTTGTGTCTTTGTCGCTGGGTTCTGGTTGATTGCGAACATCGACATCGTCCTTGCGCCATATTGGATCCCCCGTTTGAAATAGGGCCAGCGATTCGTTCAATGCGATTTCGGTTTCGGATTTTGAGTTGCCATGGACGATGGCCTTCTTGTCTTGCACTATCTTGAACAACAAGGGTAATTACATTAGAGTCGTTCTTTTGGATGGCGACATAGTGAACTGCGAACGTTAGTTGAAACGGCTTGCTGGATGATGGAAGATAGAGAGGGAGATGGAAGAAATAGAAAATCAAATCCGAGTCGCATCCTTCTACATGACTACGAGTGGACATAAACGGATAGTGTGTGTGGGCTTAATGCCAGAAAAGTACATACTCTTGCTCAAGCCAATGGCCACACAATATTCACCTGAAGCACTAAGGTAGTCAGTTACTGCGGTCTGAACTTAAACGTGCCTGCCCATAAAATTCGATTCCGGAGAATACGCATATTTGTCTATTTTATTCTGCTTCATCTACCTATCACCGAACAAGTAGTCGGGGTAGCTCGAATCAGCTCATCCTCACTTGGCGGAGGTATCAACCGCTCAACCTTCCTTGTCGACCGCCAATGCACCGTTCCATATCTGTAGAGCTCGCCAAAGGTTCCTGGTCTGTGATCTGCATCCTGAAATCCCTCCTTCTTGATGAGATCTCCCAGCGCAGGCAGTCCACCTGCTGAGTTATGATACACCTTGTACATGTGGCTGTTCTCAAGCATGTCAATTACAAATTCCTCGGCCGCTTTCCTTCTCGCCTCGTCCGGTTCATCCAGTCTTGTCGTGAAGATCTCGATCTGCTTGGCGCCGTCGTAGTTTGTCTTCATGGCCCCGAGAATACCGTTATTAATGCCTTCCACCATGAAAGCCTTTCTCTCGTAGAAGTCGCGTCCATTCCAGCCAGTCTCCACATCGAGGAGATTCCTCGTGCGGTCGCCGATGAGCATCTGGGCAACGTAGTCGCTCATCTGCAGGACCTTTTCTTCGAAATTCCAGTCAGCCATGCCGTCGGCGATTCCGATTTCTTGGATTAGTGGGTGCTTGTGGAAGCCGCGTTCGTTCGTGCGATCTCTCCAAAGCTCATTGAAGCCGTTGTGCCAGTTTTTGATGAAGATGGACCCCTTCCTAGCGGCGAGCATGAAGTTGCCGAAGCTTCCCCATTTCTTCCTGATCTGACCGGTGATGATCCAGAGACCAATCTCGTACGATGAGCTAGGATCGAAAAGAGCGTCCCAGAACAGATCGTCGAGGTGAGTGTGCAGCATGTTACCGACATCCATCCATACGCCACCATGTTCGAAGAGTAACGGGAGCCGAATGAGATCTGACGCATGCTGGGCTTTGTGAGCTCCGTCCATGGTCATGTTGACAAGGCAATCCGGGAGCCAATCCTTGCTGATGAAGTTGTAGACGTTGTTTGGTGAGCCATCGATGAGGTTGACAAGTCGAACAGTCCAACTGGGGCCAAGTTTGCGCACCCAGTTTAGAACGGTGCATCTGTAGCTCGGGTACATGGCGTCAAGCCCTTTGTCCCAGAATGCCCAGACATTCTTCTCGGAGGTAATGGGGCGGAAGGTGTTGAGTTCTGCAATGATATCCGGGTCGGTTCTGAGGTCTAGTTGGGACCGTGGCACTTCCCGCAGGCCCGTGGCCCGGTCTGGAATCGTAAAGTGTCGCATTTTCGAAAGTCAGGGATGAGATCAAGCACTAATTAGACTTCGTTCTGTTGGTTTCCTCGTGGGAAGAGGTTGCTGTTTTATACGCGGAGTCCAGAGAGCGAGGTTTGCTACAGGCTAGCGGTGGCGGTCAATGGATGGCGGTCAGCCGGCCCCTGACCACCATCGACCCCACCAGACAGATTCAACGGAGAGCCCGCGATGCATGCAATATGACCATTGACACTGCCACAGTTGCTGTAACAGGTAAATGCGATGGCTCATTTGGCTCATTTGTGAGAGGCAGGATTCCGGAACAAATTTTGATCGTCTGTTGAGAGGAAAATGTAGAGGTATCACCCCAATACGTTCTGTTTCGGCTTAGCGGCGATGAATCATCTCGACTCACAGCGCCCTGACTACGCTTGTGGAGCTGGCGCGATCAGCTCAGGAACGCCGTCTACTTCTGCTCGTGCTTTAATTGGCAGAGTCGATTTCTCTGTGAAATAACAAGCCCCAGCTGACGATGAAATGTTCCGTTGTAAGGTTTTTGTTTGACACCTCCCGCCGACGCTCATGCATGCGTAGGATTGTTGTCGAGGCAGTCGGGTCCCCGATCCGAAGACCTCCTGATTTTCTTTGCATGCGCAGCTATACTTCCTATGTACCTGATCATTGATCATTATCAATGATGCCAATAGAAATCTCCAAAAAAGCATGGTGAGTACGGCGAAGATAGTAGAGCAGATTCATGTTTGTAATCGCAGAAATAGTAGTAGTCGTAGTTCAGGAGAAATAGGCGGTCTCCCTTGCCGGGAGCGGTCCACTGTAATTATGGGGTCCCGCCCGGCAGAGTGGAGTCGATTCACCGGCATCCCGCTCTGGCATCGGCGGCTAGGTAGTCAGACCAGACCTATTTGCATTTCATTAGGGCCGATAAACAGCCTCTGAATTTCATCATCTTGAGGGGAAGACGAGCACGACTTACGGTCGGGGCCTCACCACGTGAATCATTCCCCAAAGACGTGGACGTTCACCAACTTCATCGATTTTCGCTGTTGCCAAGTTTTGACTGGTGTAATACGTGCCTACTGGACGAGAACCTTAACGAAAGGTGTCTCATTCCAGTCGGCATTCACTTAATCACTTTGCCAATGATAGGACATACACGTCTGTGCCACAAAGTCGCCGGACTGCGCCTTGATAGCAAATGAGTAGCAGATTTCTGCGCGGCATCTCCGACTTGGTGAAGCTTGGCCTACGAAGGTCTTCTACAATTCGCGGCAAGAAGTGTCTTGGCACTCAGTCCGCAGGTATGCGTATTTGCGGAAGGGTCGGCGAGTTTTGATGTCAGAAATTAGCCGCCGAAGTCATGCGTCTCCGAAGAATTCAAGGCTCATTGACTCACCCTCCGTCATCAACAAGATCTTCATCCTCTGGGAGATGTGAGCTTGTCTCACGTGCCCTCCTGCTCCGAATATTCCCGCGGGCTTGTCAAAGAGCTGTCTGTAAGACATACCGTGCCTCCTTGTGCCTAACCGGAATAGGTCGACACACGAGGTACTGCGTACCTGCACTACATGCCGGAATTCAGCGTAAGCGCTACGAATCCTTCAAGGAAACATATAAGTTCAGCCAAGTTGTGCCCTGAAAGGTCCACATTGTCGCTGCACGCCACACGGACTCGCGCTCCACAATGTCAATATCATATCTAAAGTCTCTGCTATTTCGCAATAGCCCCACCGATGCGCCATCAGAGTCATGGCTAGTCCCAGAGAAAGACACGACTGAGGTCTTGACGCTGCCAGATGGTCGGAAGCTCGGGTACTCACAGTACGGCCTGTCGACAGGCAAGCCCATCTTTTACTGTCATGGACTTCCCGGCTCTCGCGTTGAAGCCGGTCATCTCCACGAGGCAGCCCTGGAGACTGGCGCCCGCATCATCGCGACGGACCGCCCTGGCATGGGGCTAAGCACCTTCCAGACCGGAAGGACGCTTTTAGATCACCCGAAAGACCTGGAACATCTTGCTTCTCACCTAAAAATCAACGAATATGGGGTGATGGTGAGCCGAACATGGTACTTCTATCCCGACATGCATTTCTGACTTGGATAATAGGGCGTGTCAGGGGGCGGACCATACGCTCTTGCCTGTGCGCGAGCCATGCCTCGCGAGAAGCTCAAAGCCGTCGCCATCGTCTGTGGAATCGGACCACCTGATATTGGCATGAGCGGAGCAGGTTGGTTCCACTGGCTCGGATTCACCTATGGATGGCGATATGGCCCCCGGGTTGCAGGCTGGTACTTTTACCGGGAAGGTCAATACAACTTACCAGACGAACAGCGTTTGGAACTACGTCTACAAGATGCAGAGAAAAAGAAGGCGACTTATCCGAGACAGGAGCTTGGTCTGTGGTCAGATAGGGAGATTGTGGCACGGATGGTCATGACCGGTCGTCAGTATTATCGTCAAGGAATTGATGGAGTGAGTCACGACGGGCACTTGTGTGGAACAGAGTATGGGTTTAATGTGGAAGACATCCCGACTGACCTGCCCATGCGGCTGTGGTATGGACAGCTTGACACGTTTGTACCTCCGAATCACGGGGTTCAGATAGCGAAGCGGTTAGGGGACCATGCTCACCTCAGACTGGAAGACGATACACATGCCAGCATATTCTTCCGCTGGCGGAAGGAGGTTTTAGCCGACTTGGTCAAGCACATTTAGGTAAGAGGTGGCATTGTATGTAGCATATGTGCCCAATCACCGCTCATAAGTGAAAAGAGAAAACGTCACCGTTTCCGCTCAGTAGAGTCACCATCTCCAACCAACTGGCATCAAGTTTCTCACCTGCAACATTTGTGGCTCAAATAATCACGGGAGTCCTAACTTGGAGTTTATCTCATGTTTGAACGACTATACTTCATATCAAGGTGACTTCCATCCATTTCGCATTGCTCGTGACAGCCTCTCCCTCCATTTTACCATCGACGTAGGCGTCGCCTATGAGCCTATAGGGTTTGTGTCCTCTAGAGGTCCCCACTTCATTCTCTTCACGGAGAATATACGGCACTTTCCCCCCAGCAAGGACCATCACAACATCATTTTGCTGTGACTTGGCGTCAGCCATTCCGATATCTCCATTCTCCATGAGTATAAATCTACGCCCAGAAAGGTTGGGGATCAATGCGTCCGGGAACGTTTGGTCCTTCCATTGGGATGTGTCGTAGTCCTGCTTGGAATTGACAGCATTGTACCATTTCAAGTACGAGTCAAAGTCGGCTGCTGGATCCGCTGGTTTCCACTCCCGATGTTTTTCCAGATAATTGACACCCAGATTACCACACATTGTTCGCCAAAATTGAACCTCATTTTCACTGGCCGCTTGGTATGATGCGGGAAGAAGATCTGAAAGGTTCGATAACCCACGAGCCTGTTTGACGATTGGGATCGCTCCAGCTAGATTACTCGGGTCTAAGGAGCAGACATCTCCAACGGTTCTAATTCGATTGATTAGAACGCCATTAACAGTGGCCCGGCGTTTCAAGTCATCAAATCGAAAGTGAAACTGCGCTTGACTCCCTCGAGATGCATTGTAATGAGACAGTCTCAGATGGCGATCCACAGACATAAGATGTGCAAAGTGATTGCTTGGTCGTAGAGTCCAATCGGGGACAAATGATGGAAGGTTCAATGATGTTTCTGTTCCGTGCGTATTGAAGCCGAAGATATCCAGCGTTCCAGTGTGCTTTATCTCCTGCTGCGCGACATTGATGAAGAGCTGGGCAACGGAGATGCTATAGTCCGGAGAGATGTTGTGATTAGGACCTGTGAAATCCATTCCTAGCATTCCATAGACTCTGTCACGAGAGTCTCTGCAACACCTTCGCCGTAGGTTGTCAAGTGTCTCAAGAAAGCTCCGCTCAGCATTAGATCTCAGGTCAATCAGGACATCTGTGTGAGTTATAACATCGAGGAACTCTTGCCCGCACTTCATGATAGACCGTGGTCCACAGCATTGATTTTGGGCGTGTCGTCGCAACGCAAGAAATCCGTTTGACACCAGATCACCATCTATTATTGTTGATCCGTACTGAAACGAGAAGCTTTTTGCAAGAACAAATTCTTGTACAGTCCACACTCGGAAGAACCAGTCTGCCCCGAAGAATCTGGTGAGGCTGCCCTGGACTTGAGGTGCAGAGATGCTCTGACCATCAACCTGATCTACGTTAGTAAATATAACCCCTAAGTAAAGCTGTAGGCCCAGCAGATTGTGCTGTTAGGGTGCCATAAGGTGGCTTCTGCTTACGTGTAGATGCGGCTCAAGTGCCGGATCAAGGTGTGCGTCTTGTTGTTGAGCTGCAAGCCCAAGGTACTTGATAGCGATGTCCAACCCATCCCATTCTCTGCCCAGAAATATGACAACATGAGATGCACCTTTGTATATGTCGCCCATCATGTTGACTTGGCGACACTTTTCCACGTCATTTGTCTGGTCAATGCACAGGCCATCGATCCAGAGAACGCGATCTGAATCATGCTGTCGCAGATACGGCAGAAGCTCAAAGAGGTTGCCAGTAATCTGAAAGTCGACGTTGTTGACTTTGATTACTTTTCGGCAATTTTGATTTCCCCATACATATGAGACTGCCTCATATCGGGTATTTGTGGTTGGCGGTATTGCAAATAGACTGCACTCGATGGGATCAGATAGTGTGCTCGCAGGCTTCAATTTGAGCAGGCGAATTTGGCCATCGGCAAGAGGCAGATGGACTTTGCTCTCGCACTGAGAAGTCATTTTCGCTGAAAGTCCTTGGTGTAAATGACTTGCACCTTGTTGGTGCCACCTTGGCCTTCTTCTTCAAATGAGTGAATGGAAAGCAGCGCGGGAATAAGTCCAGCGCCGAAGGATCAAGTAGAATCGTCGATTTGTCAAGCTTTTTTTTGACGAAGTAGAGGACAGAGAAAGTGCGAGAATTTGCGGCGACAGAGCTTGCTCAGGGGTATGCCTGATTTTCATTTTATCGCAGGCCGCATGTATCCGTCAGCGCCTAAAGCATTGATTGACGGCCATCCAGAGGTTCATGCCTCGCTCATCTCGCTTCGTGGTGTTTCAAAGACATTCAACCCCTGGGTTTCAGGAAATTCTTATCTCCTTCCAGTAGCATGTTTGCAAACTGATATCATGACCATGCAAGCAACTGATTCTCCTCAACGCCTTCAGCACTTGCGTAAAGTCACCGATGCCAAATTTTGAGGCTGCGAAGCCGGCACAGGTGGCAGGATGGAAGGCTATGGCTACACGATCCTGAGAGTACTATTGGTTAAGACCCAAGATAAAAGACAAAGAACAGCTAGGTTCATGTCCTGATCTCAGCAGCAGGAAGAGCTTGCTTTCTTTCGATCAATTTTGGTTGGTTCGGAGACCATTCGGTCGCATGCCTGCAATGCAGAGAAAGATTGTTTGGTAAGCACTGAAGCAGGCGGTAAACGTGGACAAAAGGACTCGTACCCGAACCAATGCCAACCCACTGATGTCTCGCTTACTTTGTGTTAGCTCTCTGGCATGACCCCTCATCACCATCCTAGAAGTTTCCCAGCGGGGTACAACATCGTCGCAGAGTCGTTCATCACCTGTGTCTGCTAAATAATCACCCCTGTCGGTCCATAATTACAACAGCAACCATCATGGCGGAAGAAGGTACCGTTTCCAAGTCTCCCTCAAGATCTCCGACAAGATCCGACACCGCTGGTCTACCAGCTGTCGGAGATGAACAAGCTACCAACAATCAGCCAACGTCTGGCCCCAGCATCGAGGCTGCTTCGCTGGCGGACGATGCAGGCTATTCTACTGACAATAGCTCCACTCAGTCGACCTCATTGTCATCCAGCGTCCGCGATTACAACTTCGAGAACAAACGACGGTACCACAAGTTCAAAGAAGGCCGCTACCTGTTCCCCAACGACGATCTGGAGCAGGAGCGGGAGGACATGAAGCATGCCATGATTCTCCACCTATGCGTTGGGAAACTTCATGATGCGCCGCTGAAGAATCCCCAGAAGATCCTCGACATCGGGACTGGAACCGGTATTTGGGCTATTGATAGTTCGTGCATTTCTCTTGTGAAGACATGGTATAAGAGTCCGAACTCGCTGACCGGTATATAGTGGGCGATGAATATCCGGAGGCAGAGGTGACTGGTATTGATCCCAGCCCCATACAGCCCGGTTACGTCCCGCCGAACGTCAATTTCATCGTTGATGACGCCGAGGCTGAATGGCTCTACCCCGAAAATTCGATCGACTACATTCATCTTCGACACATGGCACCAGCTATTAAGAATTGGCCCAAGCTATTGAAAGAGGCCCATAGGTAAGCCTGAACTCTAATTTGGAGCCCGATGTGCTGACGGAAGCAGGGTTCTTAAGCCAGGAGGCTGGATTGAGCTTCAGGACATGAAGTGGACATTCGACTGCGATGACGGGAGCATGCCTTCTGATTGCACGCTGCCTAAGTTTACTAGCTTCGTCAAACAGGGTCTAGAGAAATTCGGAGTTGAACTCTTCGCAGCTGATCATCATATTGAACGATTGGAGGCCGCAGGATTTGTGAACCAGGTCAAGGACACGAAAAAGCTTCCTGTTGGTCCGTGGGCGAAGGAAAAAGAGCTGAAGACCATCGGAAACTACAGTCAGGCGGCTGTGTATGATGGCCTACACGCAAATACCATTGCACCTCTTACAAGAGGTCTTGGCTGGTCTTCCACCGAGGTCGAGATCTTCTTAGTACAGCTGCGCAAGGACCTCATGAACCCGTCCATCCACTCCTACGCACACTACTATTCGATGTCAGGCCAAAAGCCATTGGAAATCAAGTAGTGCCAGATTTGAAATTTCGACTTCTTTTCAAATTTCATACCATCACCAACATGACTTGGATGGTCAGGTCTAAAATAGAACATCCTGCGCACGTCAACCGAGGCTAGGATAATAAACGGCTTTATCTTGATGCATGCTTGAACGAAGCTCTGTTGTATTATGGACATGTTCTTTCTTCCTCGAACATGATTGTGTGCTCCGAAGGAAAGTCGCCGTTGCTGCTTAGAATTTGTGGTGCCATTGCCGTCGCAATAGCGTCATTGCCGGCAGATAATGTTGAGGGTCTGGCGCTGCACCCGCCTCAATGAGGGTGTCAGCTGCTACCGAATTTCCCTTGATTCTCGCCAAGTGAAGAGCCGTGCGCCCTTGAGTGTCCGTCTTCTCCAAATCAACAGAAACCCAATTCCTCTTCTTTGAAAGCCTGCAAATATTGCGAACGATTTCATCTTTACCGTGTAAAATAGCCAAATGAAGCGCCGTCCAGCCGTAATTGTCAGTCTCATTCACAAAGGCATAAAGCTCCTCAACAGCACCCCAGTGTCCTCCAATAACAGCCCAGTGAACGGCCAAGCGACCGTGGAAGTCTTTAGCCTTCCACTCAATTCCCTCTAGACCATGGATGATCTGCTGGTAGGTTGATGAGCTTATCCTGTTCAAGTGGGTAAGAACCGCAACATTCCCTTCACCTGCAGCCACATGCAGGGGAAAGGCCCCATCCGTGCCTTGAACGTCAAATGTTGCGCCTGCGTCTGTGAGTGGAATAATGACATTATCATCGCGGTAGCCGCAAGCATAATGAAGCGGCGTGTATCCCCGGAAGTCTTTTGAGTTTACGTCAGCTCCGTTTTTGATCAAGTAATCCACCATATTCAGGCTTTCTGTCCTAGCAGCATGGTGCAGAGGTGTAGAGCCAGACGCATCGGGCTGATTGATCCAAGGGATATCTTTCCTGCATGCTGCGGGATTACCATTGATCTTCATGGCCTCGAGATGAACACTCGTCATGTTGAAGCGTTGCGGCAACTTGGCTGATAGGTCTGGTGGGTCTTTGCGCTGCCTCCAAGGCAGGCACCTCCTCGCATGAAATCTATGACACAACCGCGTCTCAGGTTGCTCTACGTCATGTTCAATATCCCTGAGTTCTCTCAGATAATGCAGGAAGCCTTGGTGTCTGTCTTGGTGGGTGTAAAGCGTTTGCAGGTCTTCGAAGAGCTGGTCGTTACTTAGAATTCTGAGGCATGTCAAAAGTGCTGTTCGATGCTTTCGGAAATGTTGATCGAGATTCTTGCGTTCACCAGGGGTCATGTCCGATGACCAACCATCGGGTTGGTGACTTTCAGCTTGCTGATCCAACTTTCTACCCTCGACATGCATCAACCAAAGTTCATCTTGTGCGTCCTGAGCGTGCTCGATCAAGAAAAAAAAAGAGATGCAGGAAGAAAGCTCTACCCAGTTGAACTTCCTTCCGAAGCTTGACGGAATTCAGATCATCATGGTCTAGGAATAGAAGTTCCCAGTCTTGCGCTTTACGGGCCTCGATCTTTGCCTGGCAAAGAACGTCGAATATTGCGAATGGTACTGGCGCTTTGTCCCAGAAGCTCAAAGGCAATAAGAGGCTCAACGTAGCCTCGACCTCAGAGCCAAGCTCAAGGTCGACTAAAGTTTCAATGAGCTTATTCAGATCCCCATGCTTCAAAACACAGAGTCGGAGATTGTTCCTCAGAACATTCCGCCACGTGATGTCGATCAAGATGTTCTCAATCTCTGCTCTACCTCGTACCGGAGACCTCAGCGTCTGTGCCATGGAACAGAAGAACGAATATAGTAGGTCTTTTGCGTACAGAAGATCTAGGGTCTCCTGAGTTTCGATGGCCCAGTGAGCCCTCTCAGAGCGTTCAGGCAGTAGCTCCGATACAGAATCTCGAGTGCGCCAGAACTCTCGCTCTCCTCTTGGAACGTCTGAGAATGGTCGCTTTTGTGGGTTGAATCCCACAATTCTGCTCGATTGAAACTTCTTCGGCACATCGTAAATCTCGTCTTTATCTTCTCGGGGAAGCCGGTAGTCGGTTACGTTGAACATGGTTTGCATAGCTTTTGGCGCCCAGAGACTGAGATCTTTACACATCTGGTCTCTCATATCGTTATCCGCCGGACATAGAATTCTCAAACTGGCTGGATATATCTTGTTACGGAGCCAGCTGTCATTCTCTGTGTTGACGTGTTTGAAATTTTCGGCGCCCTGGCTGAGCTCAAATTCCTGATCGGCTCCTCGCGCAGTATATGCCCAGAGTGACAAGACAGCGTCGATGTCATCTGCCAAAACTTTCCAGGACTTTCCTTTGTGAGCCAAACAAAGCTGAAGAGACATCGCCGGATTCGAGGTAGGAGTTGATATCAAGCCATTGTGAATCACGTCAATATCCCAGAGGAAATCGCTAGTTCCGTCGACTCCAGTACCAGTAGGGTACAAAATCGACATCGTCGTTTCCATTGCATTAGCAAGGTTCAGAGCTGTCTTTGACGTCTCTCGCTGGAAATTTGCGAGCTTAGCAAGCTCCCGGCGTACGTCCAACAACCGCGAACCCGATTGGGGGCTCGAAAGGCTCTCTTGTACAGCTTTAGGTGGATGGTATCGGGAGCCCCACCCCGTAACGACAGCCCATGTCCCAGGGATATCATGTTGATTTGTTCTTCCATTCTCACCATGCCGCCATAGCGGGCTTGATACGATATCTTCTGTGGTCCCATCGTTTGGAGACTCAGGTTCCGTGGGCTTTTTTTGTTTGATAGAGGACTCGTTCGTCTCCCAGACATGCTGTTCTTTGACCAGTTTCCAAGCTAGCCAGTCAATTTCAAAACCGGCGAGAAGCCTCGACTTATCAAAGGAACTCGCAAATCCAGGTCTAACAAGAGCTCTTGCGATCGTCATAGCACCTACTGCAGCGAGCTGTGCCAGAGATGCTGCTGCGTTCATCGCCCGCAGGCCAACGAATTGGATGACGAATCCTACAAGGCCAATGAGAACCCCGATAATGGCCATGAGTTGCAATGTTTTGTTGTCTCTTCCCTCTCCATAGTCTTTACTGCGACGAGAGGTGATGATTTCAGTTCGGGGTAAAGAGGGAAAGGTTGCAAACGATTCAAAGACTTGATCACTGACGGTCTGCCCTTGCTGTAGCCAATATAGACGGATCTCATAGCCCTCGGTGGGTTGGTATCGTTGCTCATGTGTACTACTTTCCACCACATGAGCACATAGAAGCAGCCCTGCACCTAACAGGATAGTACCGCTAGCCGCAAGTGGGAAGGCATGTTTCGGAACAGCTTCATCGTCCTTTTTGAAATCATCACGTAGGTAAGATGGATAGGTCATGACCGCAAAGAAAGCCAAAACGCCTAGTTGAAGAATAATTCCCATGACTGCAACAGTTCTGATAGCAGTCCGGCTATGGCTCTCTGATAGGTTCAAAGAGATGTTCGGTGCTTCGGGGCCTGTGTTTCGAATGACGATCATGGAAGCCCCCTCGGGAGGGTCACCGGCAGATGTAACTTTGGAGCTTTGTAAGCCGGTTTCTGCTGTTGATTCAACAACAGTTCCATTTGAATAACCCTGGATGGGATGTTGAGAGATATTGCCCAACTCTACGTTGTTCTCTGTTGAAGCCGATACATCGCCTATAACACTTAATCAGAATCGCCGACGGAATGGTGAATCGATGTCTGCCATTAACGTACCTCGGCCTCCTCGAAACCAAGCACGAGTGCGTCTCATACTCCGCCGCATCACCGTAGAACCAGCATTGGGTCTATCTTCAACCACAGAAACGGAGGTTGACAGTCCTTTCTCAGTAAATTGTGGTTGCCTTTTCAGCTTGGAATCGTGAGTTCCTTCCTGAAAGTCAGTATTTTTCTTACAGGTACAAACTACCCACCCTACCTTGTAATTTCAGGAGCCCTTCCTTGATCGCTTGTTCCAGTGTCTTGAACTGGATCCTTCCACCGGTTTTGCCGTTACTTTTAGCCGAATCTTGCGCGTTGTCTTCTTTACTAGGCACGAGGCATATATACTCCCATACAGGAGCTAGGCCTTGGCACCTGACGATGCTCTCGCCATTGTACAACTCGCAAACCTCACGTGAAGTAGAAGACATTAGCTCCATTTCGGCTACTGAGGTGTTTTCCTTCGCCCGGCCAATTATCGCCTTTAGCCGCATTGGTCCACCCACTCGAATTGCGCTCACGATGATGGTGATGATTCCCAGCGGAGCCATTGCCAACGCGATACAGTCTGCCCACCCTAGCGATTGACTCATGAACTGCATAGTCGCTCGTTCACCAAACAGGGCAAGGACACTGGATCGATTAGCATACTACCCAAGAAAGGGCATGGAATCATACTCACGGCGCTAGATCAGAAAAGAGGTTGTTGGTGAAATCATCCAGAGCCCCAGCCTGGGCAGGGACGATCATCGAACTGAATGCGAGGCATCCCCAAAGCAGGCGACGCGCCATTTTAGTCAATTCCACAAGTGGATCGCTGCGCTTTGTTATACGAGACTGGTGCTTCTGGCTGGTATTCTTTGAGATGAATTCTAATGCCGTAAAGAATTGAGGGAAGTTAGAAGCAGGCTACGGGGGCTTTCAGATTGTTTTGGCTCCTGAAGGTGGACAAGGCTGGCGCCTGGAGCAGGGGCTCATGCAGGCGTGCTGACCGACTTTGATCACCAAGTTATGATTGGTGAAGCGATGGGTGATGTTCTATTTAGATCAATCATTTCTTGGCAGCTGAGGGAGCCTGCCTCGCTAGCCTAACAGAGTCCTCGCAATTGGTCAACTTTACATGGAAGTTGCAGATCCGAGATTGATTGCAAGTGTCACCCAGGATTTCACAAAAGCTGTCAGTTGACGGATGCGAGAACATAATCGGTCATAGTTGGAGATCAAAGAACGAGAGAATATGCTGAACACAAGGACTGGTGAATTAACAATCATACTTATAA